GGGGGGCCCGACCCGTTTGCCCGGACCGATCCCGGCGATCGACGCCCCTGCTCGGGCGGTCGTTTGACGGATCCCGCCGTGGAGACGCACGGGGGCCGGCAGGGTCGCCTGAGTATCCTCTGCGCGGCGGTGGATCCCACGGGAACCGCCTTTGCCGTGACCGGGGACGGAACTCATGCCGCCCTGGGCCGGGCCTCCCCATCGCCCGCCAGCCCGGAGCTCCTTTTTGGCATGAGCGATGGGAGTGTGTGCACGCTGCACCTGGGGAGTGGCCGGGTGTCTCCACTCACCCGGCCCATCTCCACCGCTCCGACGCGAGCCCTGTTGATTCAACCCTCCCATGGAAGTCTTTTCACCGCCGGCGAGGATGGGTATCTCCGCTACTGGTCGACCCGTCATCCAGCCAACTCGCATACGCTTTGCTGCCCACCCTCTAGTTTATCCTCGGCGTATGAGACGGTTCGGGTGAGGCCATCTCACCTGCGCGGTTTCGCACGGGATCTCCTCCCAGCCGGTGAGGGGGTCCAGGGCGAGCAGCCCGCGGGGTTGGGTTGGCGCTACTACCTTCGAGAACGCCCTCGATTCACTGTCGGAGTGAGGGGGCTGAAGCCACGGGAGGAGGGTGGCGTGGCTACCGCTGAGCCTCATCCTCACCACCGCGATGCGATTCTCTCGATGGCGGTGATTCAGGGCGTGGAGGGCGGTTCTGCGGGGGGGGATCGGTACCGCCAATTTTTAGCCTCCGGCGCGAGAGACGGATCTCTCACGGTATGGGCGAACGAGTGCCCCTAAAGTCTGGTTTCACCTACGCTTCTTTTATATTGCAATGTACGAATTTGCACCTTGCAGTCTGGAGACATTCACTTATATCCATATTTTTTTTGTCTAATACTTTCTCCAATGTCCTTTCAAAGTTAAGACGTGTAATTAGAAACCGACTGGTATTTTTATTTATTGACTTGCGTATATTATTTCCTTCTTCCTTTTCAACTTTTTCCCTATGTGGTATTGACCATTTATTAGTACGGTTCTGTGGAATTCAAAGACATATTAGTTTATTCTGATTGTCGAATAGTCAAGTCCTATGGACGTTAGCTGCGTGTGAAAGGATCTTTTACCACGCTTTGATTGATGTTGTATCGAGGCTATTGTTACCACTGGCCGGACTGCTCCACTTACCTAATCGGTTCTCATGATTTTGGACTCTTCCATCCGCGACTGGCATTCCTTGGCGATTGGATCCCACAACGAAGTAGGCTTCAATGCCACTTTCAGCGAAGTTAGCGCTGGCGCGATGCTCACGAGCACTATCGCAGGTGTCTCTATTTTTGGTATTGCAACTACAAGGCCAAACTACCGAATTCGCTTTGTATTTTCCATCATAGATGCCACGTGTGCCGTTTTGTCTAGACTAATATGTATAACAGCTCGTATATTTGATTAGTGCCTTCTAATAGTTCGAAACTTGGAATTTATGACCAAGGACATTCTATTAGCTTATTATTCCTGCCTCTTTCATGCAGAATGTTCAATATTAGTCCCTCCATTGGCACTTTTAGAAGTGCTTATAGCCAACACCAGATAAATCTTCTTTATCTTAGACTTCCTTGTTTTTTATTTCTGATCATTTTTTAAAATGTAAATTATGCGAGATGGGCATATTTCTACTTACCTAAGTGATAGAATATGCCGCAAATTATTAGTCCTCAAATCTATAATTCGATAGAATAATGATTGGCAGCGATTGATTTCGTCAATACTTTTTATTATAAGAATGATTTTCGACCTTTTTTTTTTATGTTTTACAAAGTGATAGAATAGAAATAGGCAAAGGCTATTTCAATAAAAGTACCTTATTGCCTATAAGTTCTATTTAATGAGAGCATATTCGCAGCATACCTAAAAGAAAGCGATAAAAATTAGTGCTTTATTGACATTTGAACAAATATATTTTGTGTCTTTTCGCCCCTAACTTTTTTAAAAGATAATCGGTTGGACTGGCAACACGACGAAAGTTTCAGAAGGAGAGTGGGATAGGCTCCATTTAGTTTGAACTCTTTCATGCCACCAACTAGCACAAAAACACTCGAAAATAAGGATGATAATCCGCTATTGGCCTCGATCCCCTTTGCGAGCTCGTGTATAGCGATGGAAGTAAAGAATTACTTTTTAGATGCCATCTCTCACGGTTATTTGGAGCAAATTCGCACTAAAGGAAGTACTGATAATACTTCAGAAGTACTTGCGCGTGGTGAGTTGTGCATGAATCGAGGAGGCAAGTGTAATACATTACCTCAAGATTCTAAGATGGCGAATGCACTTCCTACGAGAAGCCCACGACGATCGATCGTGGAAATTTTGCAGAGGGATATCCTGTCCTTTGAAAATAGTGGACTAAAGCCAAGAGCAAAACGCGCCTGTCCTGCAAAGGAGGAGTTTCGTTCGGTCACGGATGCCTCAAGACTGGGGGGCTGCGGTTATCTGTACTCCGCGTCCTACCGTGGTTCTCCACGTACACAGATCCTTTCGTGCGCACTCTGCCGTGCTCTCGAGGGGTATTACGTGATATGGGCGGAAACCCAGCTTCGCATCCGGGTATATCGTCAGTTGATGACTACCAGCCTCAGCGAGAACGCTTCTCGTGATGACGGAAGGCTTTCCACTCCCCCACCCCTTCTGCCGCTGCTGCTTTCTCAAATCCGTTCGGAAGGAACGACGTGGAGCAGCACGGGGGTGCGAAAGTCTTTGTGCATGGGCAGCATATCGAATCGAATAAAGACTTCCAAAACCTCCCACACACACGATTTGGAAGTGTTACCATCCCCGATGACATCTCACACCGTTCTCACCTTGCATAGCATGCATTTTGTGCGGGAGGATGCCCTTCATGCGCGACGTTGCGGTGCCTTCGCGCTGCAATCCGTTCTCCACCCTCATTATCCGACGGTGCTGGAGTGCTACCCGAAGCATATGATTCATTTCGGGTTTATTTGCTATGCGTTGTGGAACGCATCGAACGCGTGCTTTACAGGGGGTGCGCAGGTGGGAGGGAGATTTCCTGAGGCCGCTTCATCCACGTCGTCTTTGATAACGGGTGTGGTGAAACGGACGCATTCGATTTTATTCACCGGTGGGGTCGAGGACGAGGATCTCCTGCCCGTGCGCGATTCGGATGCGGTTTTGGTGTTAGGCCTTGGGGGAAATGTCTTGGGGCGATGTTTGGATGGGCTTCTCCCCGCTACGGTGGGGTTGCATGTGGTGGAGGTGGAGCCGGCGGTGTTGGAGGCCTGCGTGGCGTATCAGCAGCTCCCCCCTCTCCAGGCCGCCCCGCCGTTGGCGGGCTGGTGTGGGGAGGAGTCCAAGGCACCCACCCAGAGCTCCCCTTCGCCTGCGATCACGCCTCCAGCGCAGCCACCTCGGGAGTTTTTTGCCGCCGGAACCCACCCACGGGGCTCGCGGTATCGGATCTACCTCGAAGACACCTTCCACTTTCTGGAGCCTGGAAAGCCACTGGGCGGCGACGCGTCTGCGGGGGACTATAACATGATCTTTCTGGATTGTTATGATCCATGTGATGAAAGGATGATGCACTCTCGAGAGCTGTTAGAGCGCTGCCATAAGAGGCTTCGCCCTTGTGGGGCTTTAGTGATTAATGCCCACGTCTTGCCGAAACGTGAGGTGCTGGAGCAGCAGTTCCTAGGCTACGGTTTCGCTTCAGTCCAGGTACTACGCGTTGCCGGCTTGGATCAATCGATTATTTTATGTCTACGCTTCCCGAAACTCATGCAAACCCGAGGTAAAGTCTTGCCTTCTTCCCAGCATGTGGCGCTGCTTAGGCAGCGTGGGCATCGTTTTACATTACGCAATGCTCGTGCTGTAGCCGAGTATATTAATCAGCGTCGAATGCTTTGTCGGGGTCAAGGGCACCATTGCGACGAAGCCAGTTCCACACAATTTACCTTAGATCATGCGTGGTTTAAGTCTTGTCGTCTGTTGCCAAGATCTCGATCAAAGCAAAGGGCTCTTGATACTACCAAGGATAGCCTTCCGAAAAACTCTTCTTCTAATGATGCTTTAGCAGAACTAAGGAGGGTGTGTATAGAGACAGAATCTTGTCGTATCTGGGAGCATTTCACGTGATCACCCACGCCACAGATGATCAATTTACATTGATGTTTTTTATTCTCCAATTTGGCAAGTCATAATACATAGACTCATATATTTGTACATCTTATCTTCACTTGTGTTCAAGATATTATGAATATCCAAAAGTATCTCTTTGTAGAACGCTAATACTAAATTTTTCAAAAAGGAAAATGTTTCCTTTGTTTATCACTATATCATTCCTTGTCGAGAAATGAAAAAAATACCTGACATTGGCGACATTTATTTCCCGCTGCTGAGGGAGGATATATTTACTAAGATGTCCCTTTTTATACATTTATCGTTTGCTTTCCCCCCTTCTGTCTAATTTAGTGAATAGCCCTCACTACACGCATAAACACACGTGCGTAAGAGTCCCTCAGAAAGGGGAGAGGAAAAGGAAGTCACAGCTGATAAATAAATAAATAAATATATATATATATAATCGTATACATTCCTCGAATCATCTGCGTGCCTTGGTATTTTTTTTTCATCTCATCATTCTCCTTTTCGCCGATGGATGTGTATCGTCAGGCAGTGGACATCATTAAGATGTTGCGCGCCGGGAAAGGAACCGCAAAGGCGCTTTGTTTATGCAAGCAAGTTCAGAAAAAGAAGCAAACCTATGCGGTCGTCTGTGAAACGCTTCGACACTACGAGCTCCTGGAGGATGTCTTGGCGGTTTCCGAGTTCTTCAAGTACTACCCCAATGCCAACCGTGAGCTTGCGTTGTGCATGGTGTATGATACCGTTTTGGGCAAGGGTGTGAATACGAAAACCGATAGCACCGCTCGCGCAATTCAAAGCTCTGCGTCATACCTGCGTGAGGCGTACTGGCAGGTGCACAAGCATCATATTATTCCCCCTCGTGCGGGTACTATATTAGACCAGGAGATGGCGGGGAACGATATGATCGGGCGAAATGGACGAAAGGCGCCACGCCCGGAAGGGGCTAGTAATGGACCTCATCATGCATCCACTGCATCTTCCGATGGGGTGGCTCGGGTACCGCGATATGCTCGGATTAACACGTTAAAAATAGCCGCCCCGACGTTGATTGAGCGACTTCAATACTCGATCGATTCGAGCATGAATGAGGGTGGGATTAGTGGGGTGAAACGACCACGTGGTGAGGCTACGGAAGAGGGTGGTAAGGGCAATGAGGTCTCTGAGGCCGCCTTGCAGAGTAAGCGGCGACGAGGAGCGCATCGACGGCTGATTCTTCCCGCTTTTACTTCGGATGCGGTCGTGCCGTCGTTGTTGGTGTTTCCCCCCGGAACGGACCTCCACGCCCACCCTGCCGTTCGTAGCGGGCAGCTCATCCTCCAGGATCGCGCATCCTGCCTGCCGGCTTGCGTTTTGCTTGATGCCGTTCCGGTGGTGAAGTCCTTCCCGACGAGCCTGGAAACCCCTGTGGAGGGGGAAAAGACGGGGGGGAAGGAACCCAAGGCCGCGAATGCGTCGGCGACTTTGGAGTATGTGGTGGATGCCTGCGCGGCGCCGGGGAATAAAACCTCCCACCTCGCAGCCTTGGGGGCACCGGGGATTAAAATCATGGCGGTCGAACGCGATGAGCGTCGGGCGGAGCTGCTTCAGCGACGGATGCAAACCCTCGGCGCGGCGGATTATGTGAACGTCGTGAATATGGATTTTTTTCAGCTTTCCTCGGACGATCGGGAGGCGACGGAGGGGATTTTGCTCGATCCGAGCTGCAGCGCGAGTGGCGTGACGACGCGCGTCGACGTCGCCCTGATGCACCACCGCCGTCAGCACCCTAGCGGGGAACCCGACGAGGTGGAGCCCCATGAGCCGGAGGGCGAGGAAGGGCCCTACGCGAATTCCGGAACGATCGACCCTGAGGCGCAGGGGAACACCTTTTCCGCCGATATCGAGCGGGTGCGAAAACTCGCGTCGTTGCAGCGCAAGCTTCTCGCGCATTCCTTGCTTTCCTTTCAGAATTGCCGCACCGTGGTGTACTCCACCTGCTCCGTTCATGAGGAGGAGAACGAGGCGGTTGTGCGGCAGGTGCTGGAGGACTCTCGTGTACATGAACGGGGCTGGCGGCTTAGCAATATCATGCCCGGGCTCTGGCGGACGCGTGGCATCACTAAGGCGGACGACACCTTTCCATTGGATTATACGATTCGCTGTGATCCCGCGGTGGATGCGACGAATGGATTCTTTGTCGCTCGGTTTGATCGAGAGCTGTAGAATGGTGAGAAGTAATAGGCAGATTAGACGGACTCGATGCACTGCCCTGTTTTGATAGTGGCTGTTTTAAAGGTTAATAATTGTATTTTTCTCTTTTTCGAATAACACGACTAAATTGTCTGATTTTTCAGAGCTAAAATCTCACTACAAAAAGCCGCATCTTGGCTTTGTTAAAGCTTTTCTACTCAACCCAATGCTCTGGTAAGAAGCCGCTCGATTTTTGATTCGGTGTGTATAATACTACTCTTTCTTTTTCTTTTCGTCCTTGCTCTGTTGTTTATGTTTTTGATGCATTGGCTTTTCAAATCAATAGATTTCTTTTGTATATATCTATATATATATCTATATTATATATATATATATATATATATACATCTACAGAATACATACTCCGTATATTTCTCTACACCTTCATTATCACGCATTGTATAAACGAGTCGTGTGGGCACAGAGAGTTTTTTAGCTTAATTGTATTATCAAGAAGATTCTTAGTGTAGTGTTCTATACGAACTACACCTCAGTGTAACGAATCTCTATTATATCGTCATCGGCAAGGGATAACAGAGAATACTGAAGCTCCAATGGTGCAAAATATGTTGTCAGCGAAGGCAGTGCTCGCACTCCTTAGGGATTCTAATGAATCCGTAATTCTGTTTGCACTCAAGCGTTTAGTTGATCTGATGGACACTTTCTGGTGTGAGGTGGCCGCGGATTTACCACTTATTGAGGAACTTCAAGAGTCTGAGAACTTGAGCCTCAAAACCCGTAAGCTGGCGGCTCTGGTGACTTCGCAGGTGTATTTTCACCTCGGTGCCTACGACGACTCTGTGCACCACGCCCTACAGGCAGGGGAGGCCTTTGATGGAATGCCAAGGTCTCTCTTCACGGATACCATTCTGAGCCGTTGCATTGACCAATACATCGAGCAGCAGGAGCTGAAGGAAGGGGAGCCTCAGAAGACCGATCCACGTCTTGAAACCCTTTTTGTAAGCTTGACAAAGCAGTGGGTTCAGAATGACGATAGTATGGATGAGGCAAAGGAACTTGTCGGCTTGACTATTCTTGCCCGGCGACTCGATTTTCTGGAAATCGTTCTGAAGGAATGCCTCAGTCGAAACGGATCTTCGGACATCCTAAACTTTACCTTCAACACGGCGAATGTATTATTGCGGGATATCGGATTTCGTCGCAAGATTCTTCTTCTTCTGTCGGTTCTATACACGAAAGGGGTTGAACGCGTGGATTATTTCTCGATGGTTCAGTGCTTGCTCTTCCTTTCTGATACCTCTGCCACAGCAGTTCTGATTCGTGGTTTGATCGAGGATGGAAACACGATGATGGCTTATCAGCTCGCATTTGACCTATTTGAGCACGGCAGTCAAGACTTCTTGTCTGTGCTTGTGAAAGAGCTTGAAAAGGATTCTGGTATAGCAAATTCCCCTGATGACAATGCCGCCGTGGTTGCAGCTGAAACTACGGCAGCAGAAAATGAAAAAGGGGCTGACGTCGACCCTGCAGAGTCGGTGCAGCCACCTGCCACGGATAAAGCGGTAGACCCTGTCCAGCGCAACTTGATAGCAATTCTTTGTGGTGAGGTAACGTCGAAGCTCTACCTAAAGTTTATGTACTCCCGCTGTGTCGCAGACGTCCACATTCTGAATCTGATCAAGAAGCGAATCGATCCGAAGAAGTCGATCCTGCACAACGCCACGGTGATGGCGCACGCTTTGATGTACAGCGGCACGACCATTGACGGCTTCCTACGCGATAACACCGCCTGGCTGGCGCGGGCAGATTATTGGGCGAAGTTCACCGCCACCGCCTCGGTAGGGGTGATCCACCGTGGCCACACCGGGGAGGCGATGAAGCTGCTCGATCCCTACCTGCCCAAGGGCAGCCTGCCGGCCTTGCCATACCAAGAGGGCGGCTCGCTTTACGCATTGGGGCTTATTTATTCCCCCCTGGGTCTTTTAAGGGACCATAAGGTGGTCGACTATCTCACCGAGAACCTTCGAAAATATTCAGATAAAGCACAGATGGTGCACGGCGCCTCCCTTGGCCTTGGCCTCGCCGCGATGGGGCTTCAGGATGAGAATATCTTCGACACCCTTTTTACCTGCGTAACTGGCAGTGATGCCGTGGGTGGCGAGGGCGCCGCGGTCGGGATTGGGATGCTGCACATGGGCAGTGGCAACTACTCCGTCATCACCAGCTTGAAAAATGTGGCGAACGAGGAGATGCAGAAGGAGAAGGTCATTCGGGGGGCTTGTATGGCTATGGCCCTCATCAACCTCGGCCGTGAGAACGAGGCGCTGGGTCTGGCAAATGAGTTGCTGGAAAGCGGGGACCCGTGGATTCGGCTGGGGGGGTGCTTTGTCCTCGGCATGGCCTACGCTGGCACCGAAAACACCACCGCCATTGGTCGTCTCTTGCAGGTGACGGTGAAGGACACTTCGGACGATGTCCGCCGTAATGCCGCGATGATGGTGGGGTTTCTCTCTTTTAAGGACCCTGCCCTATGCCTCTGTCTCGTCCGGATTCTTGTGGATAGCTACAACCCACACATTCGTTATGGGGTTGCCATGGCCCTGGGCGTGTGTGCCGCCGGTACGGGGCACTCCGACATTATTAACGTGCTTTGGGAGATGAAAGACGACCTCAGTGATCTCGTCCGACAGGGCGTGATCATCGCCCTTGCCCTCGTCATGACTCAACTGACGGAATATGAGAACCCGAAGGTTAAGGAATTCCGCCAACTCTTGGAGGCTAAGATCAGCGACCGCCGAGAGACGCTATGCATCAAGTTCGGCTGCATCCTGGCCTCCGGGCTATTGGACTGCGGTGGCCGAAATTGCACCTTCGCCCTGCACCGGGATCGGCATCGTATGGATAAGGCCGTGGCGGGTATGTTCTTCTTTACCCAGTACTGGTACTGGTACCCGTATGTGCTCATGGTATCCTTGGCGATGCAGCCCACCTGTTTTATCGGTCTTAACTACAACCTGGAGATGCCGAATTACACCTTCCGCTCGAACGCCCCGCCGCACCACTACGCGGTCCCGAAGTCCATCCAGCAGGAGAAGAAGGAGATCAAGCTATCCGGTGTCCAGGCCGTGGTCCTCTCGACGACGCGAAAGGAGGAAGAGCTGCAGCGCCAACGCCGTGGAAAGCAATCCCAGTCGGGGGCTGGGGAGGATGCCAAGACCACGACGGAGTCCGCCCCTGCTGAAGGGGCCTCAGAGGCCACAGGGGCGGACCCGAAGGCCGTCGCCAACGCCGAATCGGACGGGAAAGGGGAGCCACCGGAAGCGGCCTATGAGATCCTCCACAACCCCGCCCGTGTGACGGCCCATCAGTTCGCCGTCGTTTCCCACACCGTTGACGGACGCTACGTTCCGCTCAAGGCGAACCCTATTGGGGTCTGTATGTTGCGGGATACGAAGCCATTCATTGGGCAGCAGGAGGCGTTTGTGGCGATCGACCTGGATAACGGGGACGCGCCGCCGCCTAAGCCATTCAAGTATCCTTAGTTTTTCTAAATGTACACAGTTCAATCCCGATCAGTTGAGGAACAGGAGGGAAGGAGGGACGTAATCAAATTGAGTTGAGAAAAATGAGGTCTTAGAAAAAATGCAGAAAACCACGGATTCACCATTTATTATTTTAAAGGGAAATATTTTAGCTAGTTGTTTGTTTGATAAAGTTTAAATTAATCATATTGACTTGAAATTAGAGACGTAGGGTTCAACCTAAATTTGGTATGTTGAGATAATTAGGGGGATTCTTCCTTTAGCCCTCCATATAGAGGAGAAAGTTGTGAATATTTCCTTGTCTCATTTAATTTTAGTATTTTATACAACACTCTGTGGTCTTATATGAAAGAGAAATAGGTAACGATATTCACTTACTATTATATCAAGTATTCAGCTTTTGCTCAGAGGAAGGATGTGGCTCATGCGTGGCTAACATAGAAGGCGGTCAAATATAAATGTCTATTACACAGCAATAAAACACATATACATATACGTGTATATGAATATCTATTCATATATAAATCTGCCCAGCATATTGTAGGCATTTCAAGTATAAATTATTGATGTTCGAAAAATTTAACCAGAAAGAGAGTCTTGAATTGCTTTTATTATCCATATTTGTCTTTCTTTTTCGATCCTATTATTAGCAAGGCTGGTACAATCATCTTTCAAAACTATTCTAGGGATGAGTTAGTATCGTACCCAAGTTCTTATTATTTTTTCTTTTTATTATTCTTAATTTACTGAACAAAGCGAATTGATACAATAATAAGAAGAAAATATCTGTGTAACATGTCATTCTACTTCAACTGGGGGCGCCTGGACGAGACAGCCGCTGAAGCGATCCGTGTTCTTATAAATGACAAATTAAAGCAGATACTGTATCATAGACGAAATGCGATGAATGTGAATGACAGCTGCGTCACAATCAAAGTTAATAGCAGTACTAGTGGATTAGGAGGCGTGAATTCATCATTGGAGGGGAATCGTCCTCGAAACAGAGCTTTTAACGTAGATGCGGAGCATGGGGGCTCTGGTGCTCGTGCTGGGCTGGCGGGGCCAAGTGCCGTTGTCAACCTCAGTAATCCGCTACACACCACCTCGATGGATCCCTCCTCTATTCACAAAACAGCCAGTTTCAGTAACGACAGTGCAGCTAACGGTGACGCTAGATATCAAACGCCGCAATGCTTTGGTCGCCATAGCAGCCAGGGGATGTCCGCCACCCCCCCAGTGTCTACCATGGGAGCTGCAGCAGGTGGGGTTGCATTGAACACATGCGCACCTCCTCCCAAAATACCATTAATTAGCTTTTTGCGCATAGATAATATCCAATGGGGAACTATGCCTCCATTTATTGAGATTGATCGGTTTGAAAATGCTTTAGATATATTTGACACCACAGCGTCGTGTGGTCTGGCGGCTTCATTGAACATCAGCAGCCCTGGGTTGGGTCTCACGGTTGGTCAGATGGATCGCCCCCTCTGGGATTCTTATGAATCCACCGAGGTTCCGCAGACGGCGTGCCCCTCTTCGACCCAAGTGCCACCAAGGGACCTAACGCAGCATGGGAAGGCGCCTATTTCAGCTGTCGGGACTTCAGACGCGGCTTCAATGACTACTGCGCAAGAGTCTGTGGATGGTGCAAACACCATTTCCTCAACACGGGCTACTGAAGAAGGAAGAGGTCTTTCCACTAAAGGATCTGCATTGAGTCATCTTAGGGGTGCAAGAGCGACATCACCACAGACTCGCCCTGCAGCCACTACACTTTTAACCAAAATTAAGACCCCCTACAACTATAGTGAGCATGAGTTTCCGACGCCGTCCTCCACTCCGATAGACACGCTGGCGCCGTTCCTGGGCACGGGTGGCTTGCACATCCGGCTTCATCTTACCTATGGCGGCTCTATGAGCTTCTCCGCTAGTACTGCAATTCAGTATTGTTTTCATCTAGGATCCTTCTCTCTGCCAGTTTCCATGCCCATTGAGCTCCATGTATCGGACTTCGATTTGGATTGTTTTGTATGCTTTAACTTTCATCATAACGAGTGTCGTTTGTGGCTGGAGCCCGGTAAACTGGCTGACTCGGCCATCAACCGTCTAAAGGTTGTGGCTGTGTTTGGAGAGCGCAAAGATACTGAGGATGATTTCGACACATCACCTGCAGAGTATCTCAGAGGTAAGGTTGGCCGTCCTGATGACGATGATGGCTCAATTTTTGTAGACCGAAGGGAGGTTGAGCAGCTTTTTGAGCGTGAGGTAAAAAAATTTTTACAAAAAAAGCTTATGGCACCACACTTTATCACTATACCTATTCAAATTTCGGGATGATTTGCACTAGTGCATCCTACTCCTCCACGATAATAGAGAGGGATGGAGGCTTAAAAGGGGTAAAAATCAACTTATCCAATTATCATTCGCACACAAACGATTAACGAAAATGTGCTCAGAAGTTGTTGTTGTTTTCTATAAAATCCTTGATAAAATTAACCACTAGTTTACGCGATAGTCGTTTCTGTTCTATTTTCCATGTATAAATGATAATCTATATTTTTTAGATCGAATGGTTTCTTATACTATTCCTCTTTTTCATTTTCAATACCATCTATATCTGTAGGCAGAGAGAGAACATAATAGCTAAGCAATTTGCATATGGATTTTTGAAATCTCGCTCCACGGTATCAGTGTTTTGAATAATTTACCAAAGTAAAACTTTTTGGAGTGAAGAATTCGGGCTGTTCGAAAGGTGTATAAATTACTGATACTTTTTGTTTTGTGCACATTGCACATATTAAAGAAGGAAAGTTTACGTCGAGCGAGCCATAAAAGTCAGCCAAGGGCATTTGGCAGTTATGGATACTGTGAACGGTGATGTCAAGTTGAGCACACAGCCCAATAATTTCAACCACATTTATTTGCATTCTTTACCAGCTTTAGATGGTGATCTTTGCACTACAATACCTGACCCGGAAACCCCCACCGTCTCGCGTTTACGAAAACTTGGAAAGGGGCTTATCAAGCACCCTGAGCAGACATTTCCACGGCGCCATTCCTTAAGTCACACCTTCCAAGACATTCCCACTATAACTGATGGCAAGCTGAATCCCACATCTAGCAGAAGGAATTCCATTCTAAGAGTCAGTGAATTTGAGGATTTTTCTTCTCCAATTACCTGTCTACCAACCCCTTTCAACGCTAAGAAGCCCTTGTCGCAGGTTCGGCGACCCATGCGAAAGCCTAAGGCAAATAAATTTGTTGATGAGACGCTCGAAACTAGTGAATGCCCTACCCCCACGAGAACCGTGAAGGAGTGTGACGGGTCTGCAATTCTTTTAAAAACGGAAAGGCATCAATCTCAGTCCCAAGTCGCCCACTCCAGTCGTGGCTGGCGGCGTCCCTCCGTTTCAATGAATAATTTGAACGTCGTAAAGGGAGGTTTAGCCTCTATGACTCCCACTTCTTCCTTTCGGACCCGACGCTTGTCGGTGTTTACGAACACCCCGGTGGCTGCCACATTGTCAAGCAGCCCACTCTCTGTAGCTTTGGGGACATCTCAACGGAAGGTTTTCACTTTTCCCAAAAGTCACTCCTCAATTTCCTCTGAAATGTCTCATAGACTCGATGATGCAAGATCGAATCAACCAAGCACGCCGACCCAACGGTTAATTAGGGTACAAAGTAAGATCAATATGACCTCTGAAATAATGGACGAAGTAAAGCGACATAGCCGAGTTTCCTCTTACGTGCGCACAGATCAGGAGCGCTACAGGGAGATCCTTGAGCGGGAACAGTCCAAACTAATTTTGTTACTTGGCCGAAAGTTCAACTTGGAAAGAAGTATAGAGGTGGTTTTAGACACTTTCGAAAAAGAGATGGCCCACAAGGCGAACACATCCCGAGAGCACACGAGCGAGAAAAGTAGTGCGTTATCATCAGTTTCCAGACGATACAGCACAGCAAAAGGCACCACCAACCGACACAGACCCAGCATTTACCTCTATCGAGCTGAGGAGATCCGAAAGCTGAATCAACTTAACAATGATTTCCTTTCAAACTTGGTGCGGGATGACTTTAATGTGAAAGCTATAAATCATTTAATTGAGGCATTGGAGTCACAGTTGCGCGAGGTGTGTGAACGTACTGGTGTAAATATGCCTGATAGGGTGTTCCTAACCACGGAAAGAGGCAATCCCATTCGTAATGCCACGTCAAATTTGAATGACATCCGGTGGCAGATTGAGAGCATGGACCTTGGCCTCAACACGGATGTTGACCTACCGAATGACTTGTCTTCTATGTGCCCTACAGACCACTTATTAAGTGTTGACGACTCCCAATCAGCCAAGCGTGGCTCCCCTCGCCCAGAGCACACGTCCGATCATTGCCGAAACTTCTCAGAGACTAAACCATACCTGAATCTCCCCAAACACATGAAGATCAGTGGTGACTTAGCTATTGGCACCCCTGCCACACTGAATCATTCACCGCCGGTGGACGGAGACATCGACAGGGAGGCCGAATCTATGCAGTTTGCACGAACCCCTGAACCTAGTGTGGTGGGCTTTTCGCTTTTGGAGGACTCGATTTTACACGACACAGCTGGTGTTGGGTCTCTGAAACTTCTGGGCTTTATGTTTGACGCCATCGCTGCGGCACAGGTCGCGGATTCTTTCAGGCGTCGAGGGTCGCTTTTTCCACTCGCAGAGGATACACGGAAAACTTCTGGGAGCGACGACTCCCAAGCAAAGCCTCAGGCGCTGGCCCCATGCCCACAGCCAACCAACTCGCCACATGAAGCATCTGACGTATCAAATTTCAAGATTCTTCCTTTTAAAGGCTCAGAGCTGGTAACTCCGCATGACATCAATGTCGACGCACAAACAGGGGTGATGACCACAAACCAGCATTCGAGTTCCCCTGGCGTTGAGGAATGGAAGCAGAGTACCAACCTTGAAGATACTGCAACTCCCTTGTATTTCAATCAATCTTCAAATTCTGATGACAAAATTCGGTGCAACTCCGCTCTGAGTTTCGAGGAAATTACAACTGCGCATTCAGAGAGTGTAGTCGTACAAACCGCCACCCATGCGGCTACGCTACGACCAAACCTGATTCCTGATCTGAAGCGGCTCTATAAGGAGTACGATTACCATCAATTAATTGAAGAACGCCGTCAAATCCAAAAAGCACTTGCCGCTGGTCGTTTAGGCAGTGGAGATGCTTACATCGCCGTGTTGAATGAAAAAATTCGGAGAGCAAAGATGCTTGCGTTGGAAAATCAAAAGGAAATGGAGGATAAATCGGAGAGTTTATCGAAAATGCTTAATCTTATGGTTGGTACAGGTGCTGCATCCTCTGCGCATTGTTATCCTACCAGCTCTCGGGAACACAATCATCAGCCCAGCTCATATGGTGCTTCGCAATTTAGCACCCCGGATGCGCAAATGCGAAATTCAGATAATTATTTAGAAAACGAAAATATTAATCAAGAATCGTCACCGCTAGATGCTGAAGAAGCGGAAAATGAAAGAATGCTAACTTCTACTGAAGTTGCTGCACTGGACGAGCATAGTGAACCCCAATCGATCGTATCGAGCAAGAGGATGTCGCTCCACTCTTCAACAAAATTAACGCCGCTTCAGGATCAGGAAGAGGTCCTCTTATCCGCACGGACTCCTTTTGGCCTGCTCTTCACAGTAACGAGGAAACTCCCACTTGACGACGCACCACCCATTGGCAAAAGACTTAAGAAGAAAAAGAAGGCGAGCACCCACAATAAACCTAAGCGAAGTTTCAATGCTAAAACTACAGAAAATTCTACTAGTTTTCTGTGTGTTCGCGTCCGAAATGAAAATTCAAGCTCTCCCTGTGAAGCTTCTATGCAATTAATTGCTGAAAAATTGGTGAACCTTAGGTTGATCTCAGCAGATGGTATCAGTTCACAGCATTCCGATGAGCACATCAAAGTGATGCTTGAGCCGGGCGAAATGAAAACCCTTGCGTGCTTAGACCTAATTGATAAAAGCAAGCGTGTCCACTTCAACGATGCGCTAGTTTTTAGTGGTGCTGTAGTGTCTGGCTTTGATAAGTTTAATTCACTGTATCCTCTCTCGCCACGACAGAATTCGGATAGCTTCTCTATTTTTTCTGCTGATCTACAAGATCCTTTGAGTGATCTCAAAGCGAAATTAGAGTGTGATAAGAGTAATCAACAATGCTTGTCCAGTGAAAAAAAGATGCCGAAAACAGCAAAAGCGCGACGAAACTCCTCCAAATCGGCTGCACCGCACAAGCAGGAAGTTTCCAAGCCATCTTTGAAGTCTACAATAGACACCAAGGAAAGTATTAAACCCTTTGTCACTGTCGTGCCCTCGAAAGAGGGCACTACTATCGATCCTATCGCCAATTCAGAAAAGCTTTCACCTCGAATGAAGAGGTTAAGTGATGGAAAGGTTGAATTCGAAGCACTAGACGGTGTGTCTGCTGATAAGGGTATTGTTGATGACCTTCTGCAGCCACGTGAGGTCGTCGATTGGGGCACCTCACATGAAGATCCGGAAAAGGAGGCTATAGAAAAAAATATGATTCTTCTTTCTATTATGCAGACTCAGGCAGCATCCGAAGCGACTCAGGGCTTTTCTACCGAGAGTGAGCTTCATGTGCCGAATAGTGCCGCAGATGTGCTGCAGCGCATGTTGCTCTCTGAAAAGGACCCATTGAAAGATTTGCAAGCTGCGGAGAGTATAGTGGCTGGCATAGTGCAGCGCATCGCAGAGGACGTGAGGGCTGAGGAAGCTGAGGGGTTTTCTGGACTGGAAATTACTCAAGATAAGGTGCCCGATACCTTTTCACACGAGGAGGGTATGCCCCAGCACAAGAGACAATCTAATGATGTTTATACGTCGCAGGTGGCTCAAGCTCCTTATGGCAAGCGTGGGGATCCACATGTGAATGATCCTCTGATTGATTCTTCTCAGTTACCGTCATCCTTGACACACAGCAATCGATTAACATCCTCAACGTTACCTCCGATAACTGCGACCTATGGAAGGGAGGCCTATGAAGAAGAGATCTATGCTGAGCATCATGGGTCACCGGATTTAGTTGCGGTGAACGATTCTTCATCTGAACGAATAAGTAACGCCTCAGGAAGGGTCTCGTTGCCTTTGCTCGAGGGTGAAACGCTTCCGGCCTTGAATGATACGATTGCCTTCTCATATGATACCAAGACTGAGGTAAATCGCTACGCACAGGAGAAAGAGGGTCTGAGGCCCCTCGAGGGTTCTGTACATTCTTCCAAACACGGGGTTACGAAGAAATTTGCTCAGAAAACAAAAAACAGCGTGTGGCCTCGCCCATTTCAGAAGGAAGTGGCTAAAAGGGACCGCAGTAGCGTTGGACAGCAGCTTTATGTTTTCAACAAGGACTTAAGTGATGATGAGATGCAGCAACAGCTCGCCGCTGCACTGAAGGAAATTGCACAAAATGCACCGGATGCTTTTGTTTCAAGATCAGAGGCCACTGGAAATCTTACTGTTTTCATGCCGTCCAATTTAGTCAGCGAGTCCACTCAACTATCTAAGTTATTGGTGCACGACCAAGAGTCTAAACGTGTGAATGGCTTTAGTAGCTCCACTAGGGATACAGAAGCTCCTGGTCGAATCCATGCGGTTGCACATAGTTCCAATAAATCTCCAGAGCGGATGACGGAATCAAATACAAGTTTGGGTGTAAGTACAGGTGCAACTGATTGCTCTACGTATGTTGCCAATGTTCTCAATATGGCGAAGGTGTCCACTTTGACAGAGCACCGAATCAGTAGCGAGACTATCAGAGGGGCCATGGATATAACTGCGAATGACGTTCTAACCTTCAACGATGGCAACCAATTTCTGGAGTCTACGACGACGATGGAAAATTTGGAGGAGGAGACGCGTCTACTCTATATGCAGGACCCTGTCCGATACAACGCGGTAGTGGACGAGTTTATGGGACTCGTTACATCAGAGTTGCGTCAGTCCCTCGAGCGGCCTGGCACTGAAGGTAACAAGGACACCCGGATAGATGGGTTTCTCACGGATACGATGAAAGATTTGATCAGGAAGTTTATGAGGCAAAAACTCCCCGGGACTGATACGGTGCCTGCAGCACCCCCGGATAAATCGTTACCTCCTGACTCACTACCGTCTTTTCAAAGTACTTTACCTCAGACGAGCAGGCGAACTTCAGTGGCAAATCGTAGTATTGTCGAGGGACAACGTAGTTGCGTACAGATAGTCAATCTCGTTCCGGATTTACCGTTATCGCACCGGGAGGAAGGGCGTCCCCTATCTTCCGCACATAGTAGAATGCGTGACGGTTTGATAAAGTATGATGATAGTATCACAGGTGCACCTGATGACGGTCTCGTTAAACTGCCGTCGGTAGCATCCCTTCCCAAGGACGAGCCAAGGACAGAGTTTTTAGAGAATAATATTGAGTCTTCTACAAAGGCTCACACAATGGGTGATAGTGCCAACGAGATTAAGCACTTGCTCTACGAGCAGTTTAAGGCAAAGCTTATTCTTTCTATCTTTGTCAGTTACACGCGCCGGATGTGGGCATTGAAGCAGAAGGAAAGTCGTAATCAGGCTGTCGAGATGATCACGAAAACGATCTCTCGTACCGCGAAAGTTGCATGGGAGTTCGAGAAGCACCGTGTCTTGCAGCTCAAAAAACTCATCCATATCCTCGATCGACAGACAGGTCGTCAGAGAGGCTGGATTCCATACTACACGGACCGGAACGTTTTGGTGATGCAAGGGGCCAACACGCCATGCCCGCGGTATGCCCATTATGAGGAGCAACGCCGACTACGCCGGGCGATGTGGCTCGCCCGCCGCGGCAAGATTCTTCCCCTGCGCCTGGTGCACCAAGATATCGCACGGAGCTGGAACAAGCATCTCCTCCTGGGGTACTCTAAATACGTCATCGATGACAAGCACTTTGAAGAAACCAGGAATCGGAGAGTGGGTGGCCGGTACATCCCAATACATTTTTATCATATGCGCACGCCAGGAGAACGGGCACGTTACATGCGCCGTGCACGCTTCGGTGCTGCCTTTCAATCTGTATCGAAAAGGTTTTCACCACGAATTTTCCGAGAGAAGGAACTTCCTCTCGCACTTCACTAGTTGTGCTGAATCACCACAGAGAGTGGTCCTGTTTCTGTACCTTTCCTTTAAAAAAAATAGACGATATATTCTCATGTTCATTAATATTACTATTGCTGTTCTTATTTTATCGTATGTAAAATTCACGCTAAGTGATTGCTGAATACAATTTTTTAGTTGCATCTAAACTCATGACGTCAGCATTCTCTTTTTTTTGTATATATTTCAGTCTAAATGAACATTTATTTACTTTTTTATTCTTAGTGTGAGGATAAAAAATTAGGCCGACCTTTATTTCCACCCAAACTCGGCTATAATGTATATAGAAACCACTATATTGCTTCATGCCGTGTAAAAAGCTTGTTTTCTTTATCTATTCCCTTCTGTAGATTATATATCGATATGCGGGCTTGATAATAGTGGAGAAATATTTCAAATGAATTATTTTACTGTGAATATGCTATTGGTATTTTAATCTTTTTGTCTTTTGTAACGGCTGATGGGCGTGATCACGAAGAATGAAGTATGTTTTTAGTAACTTCCTAGCGTACGGTGACATGTTTTGATTCATATGTGAATAAAATTATATATCGCATATGAGGCATTGCAGCGATCTGAAGGAAGAACAAATGTCACTTCGCTCTTATCTCTTTCTAATAGAACTAGAGAAGGTTTATTTTTTCCAAAAACTGAAGGTCCCATGATTTTTCCTGGATGACTCATTTCTTTAGGGAATGTTAAATAGACAATCTTGCGTCGTTTATTATGAAACACTTTTAGGCTGTAGAGAGCACTTCACGTGAAATGGGCTGAAGTGTTTACCCTCCGTACCGTTGATTTTTTGCACTTTACGTCAATTGCGAAGCCCATATGCACCATGGTTTAAGCTTACCGAAAATGGAGTAGGGCTAAGTGGTGCCGATATCGTGATTGGTAGTTTGAACAGACACTCTTCTCTTTGTCGATGGGAAAAAAATCGAATTAGATTAGTATGAGAAGCCTCCGGATGCATATGTCAATGCGTATTTTAAGTTCAAAATGTGATCGAGGTTCAAACATTCTGAGTAAGTGAAATACTTTGAAAAATAATGCAGTAGAGAAGCATTTGCCTCTATTGCGCTTCCAAATGTTGATGCTTATGGAGTTTACCTCAGAAGTCAAAGGAAACAAATGAATAAAGGTGCTCAACCTCAATTACTCCACTCCTGTTGGGTAATAGTGAACATAAGATAACCATATGCACCATTTATTTAGAGGGGGGAGGGGGGGGGGGGGGAGGGCTTCTATTTAAGCCAGTAAATTAAATGGGAGTGAAATAGTGTAATACTACTAGATTAAAGGCCGATGACTCCTTTTCCTGCTTCGTGCACTGCTCACATTTTTATCATTAATCAAGGAGAGGTAAAAGTGGTTTTCGAAGAGAAGGACAAGTAGTTCTACAATTTCCCCTGATTTTGTCTTCATTTTTCCTATACAGTTCTTGAAGGGTCTGCATTACTTATCCTTCGCCTTTCTCAGACACTTGTGTGAAATTTACGCCCTACACGATTGGATACAATATTGAAAAGGGGTGGAATACAATGAACCTCCGACAAAGCATTTTGAATCATCGTTATTGAAAGCTGCTTGATTATGTATCGGATTGAATTGCTTATAACATCGGTGCTTACCGAATTCCTATTTTGACTTACCACAGACTCTAGTGCATAATATGTTCAATATTGTCTGATCCCTTTAAATTTACAAATCTAATACATCCAAAAGTTCCGCAAAGCTGTCCAGGTCGGCTCCTCTTATAAAAGTTTATTGCTGCCTGCGCCCTTTAGAACGAAGTGTAATAGCTAACGGGGAAGTAAATTGAAGCGAAAACAGATATCTATACACGAATAAACATATTGTAACATGCTTGCAAAGCTTTTTGGTAGAGATTCCGCGAAGAGTATGTCCTCCGCCATTGGAGTCAGCGGCACTAGCCAGCAGCAGGCCCTCCCACAAGCTACGGGGACAGATCCCAATAACGTTATCATGCATAGCCCTCCCCTACAACCTCAGTGTGATGAGCCATTAGGCGTTGGCGAAGATATGGGTGAACTTGTCAACTTGGCCAAGCGTTTCCACGTTTCCATCAGTATTCCACGTTACCGCATTAATGGTAGCTATGTTGAGTACGTCATTGAGTGCACTCAGGGCCAAAAGTTTTGGCAGGTCTATCGGCGCTATCATCAATTCAAGGTATTGGATCAGTCCCTTAGGCAGCTTTGCACCCGAGGAACTCCTAATCACGGAGACTTTGGTGTCCTTCCGGTACTTCCAGGAAGCCATTGGATGGAAGTAACTAATCAATCTACTCAGCTTGTGGAGAAGCGTCGGCGGTATTTAGAAATCTACCTGCAGCAGCTCTTAGTGTTGGGTAATTTGTTTTATGTGGCCCGTACCCCGCTCTATGCCTTTCTTCACGAGGGCGAGGTCGCTATGGAGTTTAGGATGCATGCTATTCAGCCTCTGATAGGCTTTAGCGCTGATGCTGTGGAGGTAGAAAGTGAACTGGGCGTGCACACGGATACTGAGGATTCGCATAAAAAGTGGTGTGAAGCGACTAGTGTGCAGGTGGAGAATCCCACATGTACGCACCCCCATGATTTTCACTATCTCTCGCAGCAGCAAGCAGGGGAGCCCTCTTCGAATAATGTACCACCTGATGAGACCAAGGCGAAGCTCCCCACCACACCGATTCTCAAACTTTCACGACCATTACCCTCTACCCCTGGATTGGGTCCGATTACACAACCATCCCAAGTCAATATTGAGCACAGTAAGTCACATGTTAACCAAGAATTGCAACAACACCAAGCCGAGAAATCATTTCTTGCGGACGATAACGCTACGTCTCGGTCTCTTTCAAGTTTAAGCCAGTGGCATGCCTCCAAAGATAAATCTGAGATGGATTCACAACGTCCGTGGTTGCCATCTTCTATGCCACGAAATACGTCAGGGACGTGCACCTTATTGATTTCCGACAACAGCAAGGACACACCGAGACCCTTGAACTCAGCCCCCGCGCCGCTATGCTCGGACGTAGTGCCATCGAACGTGATGCGAACCGCTTCATCTTATGATATTTTTGAGTGGGGTGATGAAGATGCTCTTTCTGAAAGCGCTGAGGCTGCTTCTTTTTCGCCCTCTGCCTACACAAACAGTGGCCAGGACACCAGGCTAGGAAGTGGGGAAAATGAACAACAGTTGAATTCCCTTCCGAACTGTCTCTCGTGTCATCGAAAATTTTCCTCGGAGCTCTATCCACACCGGTGCTTCTTCTGTCGTAACCACTTATGCTTTCACTGCTTATGGCGGATTCGCTTGAGCCCCTCCCAACCGCTGTGTTCTCCTCCTACCAATACCGAGCCTAATAAATATGCCTCCGATGAGACCGAAAACCACACCGTCAAGGCTGAGGGGAAGAGGATCCTCTTAAATGCTTGTTTGCAGTGTGCTGAGAATTACAAGCGACGACTATCGTGTAATTGCCGTGCCAAGGACACTGACACTGCGCATGCAGTCCCTGTGATACCGGCCGCTGCGGCGTCACCCCCAGTGACGGACACCAGCCACAAGAAGGATTCAAAACCACCTATCGATGCTGGGACGTCAACCCCTGGTACACAAAAGAAGCTCCCGACGCGGATGGAGCTACAGGACTTTCAGCTCATCACGCTTCTTGGGCATGGCGCGTTTGGCAGGGTCATCAAAGTACGGCTTCTCTCCACTGGTGCAATTTATGCAATGAAGGTGCTGAACAAGTCTTTAGTCCATCAGCGCTCGATGGATTCTTATATCAAAGAGGAGAGGTCCATTCTCATGATGTTACCGACACATCCGTACATCGTTAATTGTCACTATGCTTTCCAAACGGACTATTACATAATTTTTATCTTGGATTTCCTTCCTGGCGGTGAGTTGTACGACATCATGTATCACCGTTGTCATCTGACGCAGCCAGCTGTGCAACTGTATATGGCGGAGCTTGTGCTGGCAATCGAGCACATCCACCGACACGACGTAGCCCATCGTGACATTAAACCCGAAAATATCCTGCTCGATGCGGAGGGACATCTGCGGCTCAATGACTTTGGTCTTGCGCACGGAAACTTCTCTAAGTATGCTCGACGAAGCTTCGTGGGCAGCGCAGAGTACGTCGCACCTGAGCTGGTCCGGTGCGAGAAACAAACACTTGCACTGGATTGGTGGAGTCTTGGGGTGCTGCTTTACGAGATGCTTCACGGTTGTACTCCTTTCCGTGCCAAGAACAACAACGAAGTATACGAAAATATCCTCAACAAAGAACTTGATCTATCGGATCAGCGTATCTTTACACCGGAGGCTGCATCATTAATTCAAAACTTATTAACTCGAGATTTCAAAACGCGCTTGCAGCACGCTGCATCGATCAAGACGCATCCTTATTTTTCTGGCATCAACTGGGATGCTCTACTACGCCGCGAAGTGCCTGCTCCGTTTGTACCTCAGCTCCAGGACAACGACACTCGCTATTTCAAACGGGATTTTACTGCTGAGTGGGCGGTGACTCCAGATCCGGCTAACCCGTCACGCAGCTCAATTGCGATTCTGAGGCAGCGTTTCGATAGCTTCCCATACGTTCAGGATAGCGCCAGCAGGTGTAGTTCCAATCCGCATAGCGGCTCCAATACTTCACCAGAGACATTTCCTCTTGCAGGTATCCCGTTTGGACTGCTGGGCCGGAATCCCACTGTCTTTTCTACAAACACATCAGAAGAGACCAGGCTGGATTTCTTCCGAGAGCAGCTGGTGGGGATATGGCGTGCTGTCAAGGTTGAAACCCGGGATTTGAATGGGCGAATTATTTACCCATGGGGTGGCGATGTTGTGGGCTACTTGATTTACACGCCCACTCAACATTTTTCCTTGCAACTCGCACCACGGTTACGGAGGTGCCTGCGTTACCCTCACCACCCACGCGAGGCCCCCTATGAGGAGCTTTGTGATGTCTACTGTTCCTATGTTTCCCAGTTTGGTCGCTACGAGGTTGACAATGCGAAGCCCTGCCATGAGTGTCTATACCACCACATCGAGGGCAGCTTATGCCCTAACCTGGCAGGGCGCTCGGTTGTGATGGGGATGAGTTTTGGTACCTCATCGCCACCGGATGCCCTCGGGACGAACAAAGCGTCAAGTCAAGAATTCATTCAGCCAACCTATGCATTACCGGCACGGATGGCAGACGACACAAGGCACCACAGTAGCGAAGAGGCCAAGGCGTCAGCTGGACGCTTGCTTCTTTCACTAAGTACCATGCTGCATTACGTGCCCGGCAAGCCATTTAAGGCACAAACAATTCTTACATGGGAAAAGATTGACCTAGCTTAATCGTCTATTCGGTCATTACCTATCGTGGCACTTCGTTGCCATTGGTTTATGTGCCGGTTCCTTCCCTTACTTTGATGATATCAAAATAAAACTTTTATGAAGAAAGGGTTTCCTCCCCTTCCTATTTTGGGTCGCACATACAACTATATTTCCATAGCTTTTGAGCCCATTTGCAAAGGAATACCTTTTACAAAAGAATAATGGTAAGGATATGCTATGCGTGCTTTATTTTTGGTGATGTGTGCTGTCGTTAATGTTCAACTTTTCCTCCTGTCTTCGTTATAGTCATCTATGAATTTGTAAGTGAAATCTAGTAAGCATGAAACATCTGACAAGAGCAAGCATTCCATCAAATTGTTATGATACAGAAGACGTGTAGGAGTGTCTTTTTGATTAGATATGGATACCCTCTTTTTCTGTTATGTTTTGCTATTATCTATTCTATATTGATTTTTGAAAAAGAGCCGATTAGTCGAGGAGATTGATTTTTTTTTTAGGCTTCTGAAAAACTTCCTTCCTAGTGGATCCATCCTTTTTTTTTTCTTCCCTTTTAATTCTTCTCTTCTCTTCATGTGAGATAATTTTTATCCTGACATTGCGAATGCAAGGATTTGAAAGCCGGATCAAATTCAATCAGTTATTTGGCTATAGTTCAGGTCTATTCTGTTGCTTCGCTCTTCTTAAGCACGTTAAATAAAATGCGATCTCTCCTGGATTGCTCCACTTCTGGAGGAATCTCATCGCTTGGACACAACATTGGGGCTTCTTTGCTTTCGCACATCACCGGTGTGGGCACCGGATCACTGGCGCATTCACGCTCAAGCTATTTGGTTTCAACACGCCTTCGAACTAGTATAGCCTTCAAGATCCATGCTTTCGCGCTTATGACCTTATCTGTGCGCACATTACACACACACAACAGCGCTTCACCAACTCCCAAAGTGCCTCTCTCTCCAGATCTCTTATCGGTGTCTAACGCTTCGCCAAATGGGACTCATCCCCGTCTGTGCGAAAACGAGGCTTCATCGCATCATTCCCCCTTCCCCAAGTCGGAAGCAAACACATCCTATGGGTCTGGTCTAGCTGCACACCAAAGGGGTGCGATACAACCATCCAAAGATGCGCCGTACACCCCGTCAGAGGTTTGTGCGTTTTTGCTACTCCTCCTGCCGGAGTCAACAGCCGGGGTTCAAACAATTTCAGTTAAGGAAGCTTTACATCAGCTCCCTGGCGAGATGCAAGAGATGGTTTTGCAGCACCCCGGTGGTCTAGTGCGCTACGTGCAGGATCATTTTTCGCAGAGTATCAGGGTTAGTGCAGATGGCACGGCGTTTCACCGAGTCCCAAAATTGGCACAGAGCAAAACCTCGAATGACCAAAGCGCCTTACCGAAGGCGGTTAAAAAGGAGGTGTCCCTGAGCCCTCCTCCTCCTCCTCGACCAAGTGCCACCTTTTCAGAGCCACAACCTCTTTTTTTCGATAGGCCTCCTAGACCGGCTGCGGTTTTCGAAACTCCTTCGTCAAATCCACCCACGGACACCGAAACAGCAACACGGCGCTTTCGCAACAATATTGAGATCCTTGATGCATTAGTTGAGTACATACCAACTTTTTTTGTTCACGCCGAGGCAATCGCCTCGACGCTGCCGCCGGAGCTTCAGGCACTCTATTCTGGCACATCCTTCGTCTACTTCTTGAAGCGTTTCAAGCACTACTTGGATATTCGAACTGCGTTTGGGAGTACAAAAATAAAATTAAAGGAGGACTTCTTGCATCCAAAAAGGGGGACTGCGGACGCACGTTACACGACGGGGAATGACTCATCGCGGGGAGTTGAAAGTCCGCGTAGTCCACCACGAAATTCTGAGGCTAACTTATTGTTGAGATTGTTGCCTCGGGTGCCTAAAGAGTTCAAGTCATTTGCAGAGGTGCTGCAGGAGATCTCCGATATTGTATCGCGCCATCCAGCCTTTGATCCACGGCTTGGGGTGATGGGATTTTTGGAGAAGTACCCGGAGTACTTTCAGGTTGCCGAGGGTAAGCTGCGTGTGCGTCCCTATTCTGTCGCCCCTAACGCTTTGGATGAACTCGACATCTCATCTTCCCCTTTTCCAGCAACCTTTGCGAAGCTGATGGAGCCCGTCGATTTCATGGCGGAGGGTAAGACTTATGATGATGACAGTAGTCGTGTTTCAGCGAGTGTGCCGACCAGTAAGCTTTATGGCATGTTAACGGATGGGGAAAGAAATAATATCAGGGCGGTGTGTCGCTCCTTTCCGCGGTTTCTGCGACTCCACGGTAAATCTATTGTTGTGTCTCCTGATAATATGCGTGTCTATAAGTTTAAGCCAGAGTACGAACGCTGCGCGGAAACACTGTTGAATGCTCACACGTCGGGAATGGAGGTATCCCCTGACGATCCGGTGCTTCTTATTCCGGAGACAATGGATGAGAACACCAAGGCCGACTGGGTCTTTAGAGAATTGTACAATGCGCTACCTTTGATGCAGTGTGCTGAGTTGGAGGATGTGCTTGTGTTGGTTCCCGATGCGGTGCGAGAGGCCCTGCCACAGGATATGAATGAACTGATGTCCATGCTTTCAGAGTTTCCAGATTACTTTGACACGTGGCCGTATCCAGACGACACATCGGTGATCATTATCCAGCGTGCGAAGGTCGGAATTCCGGTTTATGAAAAAGAGGAAATTATTAAGAGTGTATTGCCGTTGATACCACAAGGAGGGTTGAATCTGTCGTCACTCAGAAGTCGAGTGCCGCTACCATTACAACGCTACTTTTACCGATATGGGGTGAGTAAGACCTTGGGTGAAATGGATCAAATATTCCGTATTTCAGGCAATTGCATCATTCGCATCGCGTGAAAAAAAACTGCCACCATGAAGTAATGCATTTGCATGAAATGAAATCAGGAAAGGTGTAGCGAGGTATTTCACATCCGGATACAAATAAGATTCACAGCGGAGACCTAGGATAACAGTAAAGGGAATAAACACACAAAAAAATTAAACTATAGCTAAGATTAATATGCGATGTTGGTTTTCGTCAGCATTTATGAATCTACTATTATGTTTGTAAATTCACATATTTGCCTAGAAATAAAGCGATAAAATTGCTTGAAAGGCAGCAAGACTCATGCAATTTTTTAAAAAAGGAAGTTAGGCGGAATCGGATTGGCATCAACATATGGTTTGCCTTTGCATTCAATCATCAAATTTCTATGGAAATGTTATGTATATTTTTCTTCAAAATTACCATTTTTCTTCCTGACTTCCGTCTCTAGACGTTTTTTTTCCTTATCTATACTCTTTTGAAATATTTTGTCTACTTGCAAATTAAGTTCCTTTTTTTTTGAAAGTTCTTTGATTTGCATATTTGATTTCTTTGCTTTTGATTATTGGGTGCAATTTCTAATGATTCGTGAAAAAGTTCTTAGTATGGGAATTGATTCTGCAACTCTTCTCGTCAAGGACACTCTCTCCAATAATACCCTCCGTATTCTTCGTAGGATTAGTTTACTTGGGTGGACTGACGAGGATGTGAGTAGTGCTGGAGAACTTTATCGCAGATTTCAGAAATTCAACCTGTCAGGATTTGTTTCCATCCACACCGTTCTGGTCCAAGGCTCCTTTTTAAACGTCGTGACAGACTTCTGTGCTGGTGGGGACTTGAACACGTACTTAGAAGACAAGCTAAAGGAACCACTACCCGAGACACAGGTGGTACAGTGGCTGCTTTCGATATCAGTTACCCTGCGTTCGCTTCATTGCGATACTCATTGTCCCTTCTACGGGCTATCGCTGGAACGGGTGTTCTTCGGCGATAGGGGGAACATTCTTTTAGGCTTACCCTTACCATTTTTTTTATACTTCAAACAGATGGCAGATCGAAAAAAAGATGGTGTGATTCTTGAGAAGGAGTACCCGCCTGAGGCCCTTCAGATGAGGTGGTACCACCCTGAATTAAGCGATGTATGGCATCTCGGGCTTATTGCGCAGAAATTGCTGTCGGCACGAACACAGTTCTCCTTGCGCTCAAGCTCAGCGCAGCAGCTTGTGATGTATATGATGGAACCAGATCTGAAGCGTCGGATGCCATTGGACGAAGTGATTAAGTCGCTTAAACATATCATTCGCGATGCCAAACCATCTGAACACCCACCACCCGAGCTAAGCCAGCTTACCCTTGGGAATAAGTTTGTTGTTCGTGATAGGTTGGTTTCGCCCACGTTGCTGCAGGATGTCGCACCAGACATGAAGGAAACTCAATCGACTAGCAAAGGACATCCTTGGGCGCCTCAACTTCCGAACGGCGCTTTAGCACCTAAAGTGAGTGAGGGTACCAACAATATTCATGATGCTGATGGCGCTGTTGTTCGTCAAGAGAACGTACGCGGCCCCCAGGACAGCTGGCACCTCCGAGCCATGAAACAGTTTGAAGAATTACAGCGAATGAACGCGGTTTCGCCGGGTCGTGTGCACAATCACGTGGGCCCACAAGATGGTTGCACAGGTCGCAGCCGCCGCGGTCTGACGTTGCAGCCCATTAATACGGGCCGAGTTCATGGGGCCAAAAAGCAGGTTGATCAGTTTCTCGACGACTCTTTTTCGGCTGACGAGGCTGCCAATCTCATTCGGCAGAAAAACATCCGTACTCACATCAAGCAATGGAATCGGAAGCGTATTGAAGCAATTGCTCTGAACGCTAACCAGCATAACAATCTGGTCGTAACGGACCGCTCCAGCGTTGTGATTGTAGCGCCACGTCCAGCAGCCCCCGCTGCTTCACCAAAGGACCGTCTCACACCGAGAGCAGCTGCAAACGCGCGTCGAGCGTATGCCCAAACACCTACTCCAACCCCCAAAGCCGCAGATACGAATCCCAAGACTCAAGTGAATCTAAAAATGGCAAGGACCCCCTCCCCTTCAAAGGCATCCCAGCTTCACGAAGCTGGCCCCATGTTGCCACAACAGAGAGGCCAAGTCCAACCACCACCACCAATGCTATCAAATATACACCAGGATAGCGTGGTCCTGCGCACACCTTCTACGAATTCGTCCTTAAGCATAGCTAAGCCCCCTGCACGTGAGCCGCCGCTACGGATGAAAGCCAAACATACTAGTGATGATCGCCCCAGGAGCCCCCCGGCCGTTCCTTTAAGCCGTGGAGATTCATTGCATTTCGCGAAGGCGTCCTTGCAGTCGTCGATTTCTGGTGCTGGCTCCTGTCCGTCCGCTTCTGAGGTATCCTCCAGGAACCAGGAGACCTTTGCAAACGACCGACGGCCCCCTCATGCGCTGCCCTCGGTGCTGGTGTCGGGGACAGGCAAAACGAACAACCTCTCTCCTGGCGCTACGGGAACTGTGATGGATGCAGGAATCACAGCAACGCTGGAGTGGACTATCAACGGTCTACGCAGCGTGCTCCGCAGCCTCTTGAAAGAGAAATCCGTCTACCGGGAAGCGATGACGGCAGTTTCAATCTTTGTGGCTAGTGGACAAGAGGGCTGTCTAAACCCACAGCACAATGAAGTTTTTTTGTACCGATTAAAAGAATGGATTCCTAACGAAGCCCTCTTCATGGCAGTGGCATCTTTATGCGCACAACTTGCCTCACTTGAGCGACTCAATCAGAGTACAAAGGAACAACGCCATTTCACTGGAAATGGTAAGGAAAAAGTGATCAAATAAACCCAATGTGCGGTTGTTCGCGCGGTTGACAAAAATGCATCGAGGCAGGTGGAAGAGGTAGGGCTAACGAAACAAAATGAAAGATTATTAGGCTTTGTTTGATCCGTTTTTAACGATAGAGCTCAAGAAGGGCTTAAACACCTTAGAATGTATTAGTTGGATACAAATGAGGAGAAGGCTCTCCTCGAGTCGATACTTGCTATAGAATGATTTTGTTATGTTATTATTTTGTTTACTTAGACCGTTTTTGCATTTAGACATTGCTCTGCATTCTTGAAAATTTTGGAATGCTTGTATTTTTGACTATTATCAATCTGTAGTAATGCATTAAAGTCCAACATCATGGGTCAATATAGGGGAAAAAAGAATTGACTTTCTAAGTTTCAATGGCTTTTATTTTTTCTCGACTTGCGCGTGTTTTGAGAACCGGTGTGTCCACTACATGCGATGTCGAATGGTTTGCCCATTTTAAAAGAGAATTATAGATGCTTGGGACTTTAATTTTCCTTATTATCACTATTTTCGAGAAATTTAATCAATTATGTGGGGTTTGTACACTTTAACTTTGCTGGATAACTAACAAAGAAAAGGTTTTCTTATCTTATACATCTGGCATGGCAGCCTATTATGTTTTAATTTGGGGTAACAAGTGATGCTTTTGTCCTACAGATACAAGGAAATTAAAAAAACACATCTTATATGGATGTTTAATTTTCTAAGGTTATGTCATTCTATTGGATCCCCTTCGATGTCCTCACGTTTGCATAAACTAAACAATTTTAATGAAGCATTTTCGTAGAGCTCATATATATTTGAAACATGACACGAGAAATATTACTTTAATCGTGCTCAGATAAAGGTCATAAAATATCAGTTAAGCATAACTAAGCGTTTCCTAGGATATAAAACGTATCAGTCTGCATGGAATGTGGCATGATAAGTAGTTTCAAATATCATTAGCATCGTAGTATAATAAAAAAATATCGAACTAATAATTCTTTAGACAAACTTATATAACTTTGGAAAAATTTACCCCATCTTGATATCGTATAAAGTAAACTCAAAGTTGGAAACTTCAACAAAATATTGAATTCCACCATGGGAGGGGCTCCAAGTCGAGAGACTTTGTTGCGTAGCATCATGGTTGAGCCAACCGCTGCCCCACAGGTAGCGTCGAAACCGAGGTTGGTGCTTGTGCCCCTGATCTCAGACTACTTTCCGAGCCCTAACTGTCCTATCTTTCAGAAGTTTTTAGAGTTGCGCCGTGACCCAAATGTTCTGTATTACTATCGGGACGCTTCTCTAACCTCGGTGTCTGAGCGTGTGGTCCCTGCCGGTGCAGGGACAGACAAGGATCTCTACAGTTATTACATGAGTTTGGGTGAGCAGCGTCTCGTGGAGACTGACGAGGATTTGGTCGAGTTGCATCGTGCTGGCCGCATATTTTCCCCTGTACCATGCGTCATTGCCTTTACTTCCACTTCATCCCATGACAAACAAGGGGCTTCCTGCGATTCAAATTTCTCTGCTACTACGGCAGGGTTGGCAACTTCAGAAAAAAAAAATTACTCTTCTAGTGAAACAAAGCCTGATGAGGACCCTAATATGTTGAAGTCGACCACCACAACTTCCCTGTCCCCAGTTTCCCAGGCAAACACTAGAAATACAACCTTGCTTCATGAGGTTGAAAGCGATCCTTGTGTAATGGCAAACGACAATGTGTACTTGCCTCGCTTCAATATTCATGTCCGAATTACTGGCTTTATCGGTGATACTCAAATTTGCTCGCCAAGCATGTCATTTTCCAATTCCATTAGGTCCCCTATGGAGATGGGTCTTTTTCTTTCTAAAAGCTTGGGAGGGAACTATCGTATTAATGTCACGCTTCTCGCCGCTTATACCTACATTTCTCAACTCAAGCAAATTGGCATCCTCAGCAGCTCAGACCTGTCCATTTCAGACCAGCTAACTTGCTGCTCAAAACTTAGAGGAGATGAGGTCTGCAAAGCATTCTTGGATGTGTCTAGTAAGAGGTGCCAGAACAATGATATGTTGACTCAGCAACGGCCCTTACAAGTGGACTTCCTTGATAACCTCTCCTATAAGCCTACTAGTGGTGGTGCATACAATACGGAGTCCTATTGCAGCAGCAGTGACGTCTTGGGGACAACGGTAGCGGACCTGACTTCGCCCTTTAGTACTTTTTCAATTTTTGCTCGTCCAATAAGGTTTTGTTTTCATCGAACTGATGTCCCCTCAATGTGCTTCCTCCGCGAACTCCGTATGCGTATTGCTACCTGGCAGCTCCGACAGTGTGATGGTAAACGGATGTCGGGGGATAAATGCTTAGCGTCTGTGGTGATGCCTGGCCCATGTGGCACCGTGAGGAATGCTCCCGGAGCGAAAATGTGCTCGTTTCCGTTACCTCTGAGTATCATCTCCCCGGAGGTTATCCACAGCACCATCAATGATAGCCTGCTTGTAGTCATGGTTAATGCTAAGGACACTTGGAGAATATTCTTGTGGGCAGTTACTTACATTGGCAAATCTCTTAGCTTTTTAACAAACAAGAATACCTTTAAAATGCGGAAAGAGCTCTCGAAGCTCAACCTGACTACCAACACCGTGGACTATCTCTACACAAGCACACAAATGCCAAACATAAACTCCTACCAACTCCCAGGGCTTGAGTCTGGGCCAAAGGAACTGGTGTGGATCCCTCCTCATGACACCTACCGTGTGGACAGCGAGGGGTCCCCGATACTGGTGCCAGCGGGAACGGTGTTGCGCCTTGCAAAATGCATCTGGGAGGTGAGTAATAATGAGTTCGCAGAGGACCTGCTTTTGACCATTTGCCGTAGGACGAATATGTCTCTACGCGATGCTAAACCTGAGGACCCACATTGGGTGCGCAATCACGGCGACTCGTCCGACGAGCTCCCTGTGGGTCTCGCGCAGGGCTTCTTAATCTGGAGGGAAGAGTGCGCTGGCCAGGTTGTATACCATGGCACAAAACCTATCTTCCTGAAAAAATGGTTGGAGTCCGGATGCGACCCCGTTGCGGAGTATATAGCCTATATCTCCGCACTAACATCTGAGAGGAATGATAATCTGCACGTGAAGCCTTCCTGTGCGTCTACCAAGACTATATCGGTGAGTAATTCTTTTTGTACGGATCTGACTGATAAATCTAGTCAGCAGGGCTTCTCGTGTGATTCCCTATTGCTTGGGTCGCGATCCAGCCTGTCCCATAGCCTTAATTACACCAACAAAGCTACCCACCAAGAACCTATGACCTGGTTACCTCATGCCTCCACTTCCCTTAATCCCAAGACACCTCTCTTGGAGACTGAAGCACACACACACAGGCTTAGTACGGACATGAACTTGGTGAGTGGTATACCAAATAAGGAGCGACCTCGTGGACTTTCCGAGAGCTCGTTATCGTGTCAATGCGATACAAACAACGATAGCACCGGTAGTTATGATATGGCCTACTTGAGAAGCGGCTCCTTCTTGTCGCAAACCCAACAGTGCAGATCAAGGACATATATATATTCATCTCCTCGTGGTGCCATCGTAGAAGGAGCCGACCGAACCGTCTCCTCAGGGACTATGGAAATGAACAGCCGCAACCTAACCTTGCCCATTCGAATTTTGCCTATTGCTCATCGGAATTCCAAAAGGCTTAAGTACAACAAGGCTATTTTAGGTGGCCAGACCTCTTATGGTTCCCCCAACAGTGAGGATGCTCTCCTCAGGCAACAAGTAGGGGAACTTCGTTTTGAGGAGAGTGACGCCTTCTCAGCTTACTCTTCCCCAAGCGAACGCCTACTGAGGCTTAATTATTCCAGTGAACAGCCATGTTCATGTGACGGTACACTCCTAAAGATAAACTCATTTAATATTAAGGATTTGCCCGATAACTCGTGGAAAGAGGAAAGCCGCTCTCGGCACGGTGTGTGCTCATCTCCTTCACTTGCAAAGAGCCCTTCATTCTTAAGCTTCGAGCCCATTGACCATGGCTATGAACCACAGATGCAAGGTTTCACAGGAAGCATGCTTGCCTCGACAACTATGGGGGCATCGAAAGGGATAGAAGCAGAGAAGACACCTGTCGTTGGGCATGAGAACTACAATTGTGTTTCTCAACCGCTGCCCATTGACCCTATTTGTATTCGCACCAATGCCTCCTCAACTTCCACCCATCACATGGGTTTCCCTCCAATATCATCGTGCTTGACGGAAAAACAGCATTATGTTTTCAGTAGCCCCAATGACGGTCCTTCGGCTTATGTCGCGAAAAGTTCCCTTGGCTTTGAACCCTTGATGGCGGGTCTGGAACAACGAAATAACCATCCTAGCGACGTACCTGCCCTAAATGAGCGCGAGACACGACTGTCATGCTCGCACACTTCCACGAATAACACTCAAATCCTTTACACGATTAACGACAATATTAAGAAAAAAGGATCACGCCCATCGCGGTCGATGTTGGCTTCGACTACATATTTAACAGGAGAAGTGGCACAGACGACACAAGGGCTCACATTTGAGCCTACATTGTATTCCATTAGCTCTAATACAAGAGTCACGAAGGAGCTGGATGGCTCTGGGCAGACAGCTTTGTCTGTTGAGAGCAAAGACTCTTGTCTTCTTAAGACAGTGAACCACTTCAGTCGTAACCACTCAGGTGAGTGGCTTCATGCGGTTCCGTCCAAAAACAACGCTGAAAAACCGACCGAGCTAGATATGAAGAATTCTCTATTACTGCCTAATGCGCCTTGTCGGCATGAGGACCACCCCCCTCAAGTGGATAACACATCACCATCGTACAGTACGAATTCGGCAAGTGATGACAACTTTTCTAACTCAAAGGTTCTAAAAAATAAGAGTGCGAACGGACTGTGTGTAAATGGTGTCAAGAGTCTTACGAGACATGGAGAGTACCGGTGGGACTGGAGAAGTGCCATAGTGGCGAAGCCTTTACAATAATAATCCGATATTTAGCCAATGATATGGCCAAAATGAGAATATTTGCGTTTTGATTATGAAAGTTTATATAATATTGATTAAATAAATATATAATGTTATGATGTAGGATCTCACCTTTTTTAATTGTAAAGGTTTTTCTTCTGCTTAGTATAAATATAAAAAGTCCTTTAATTATTAATTTTTTTGTTCTTTAGAGGGGAGAAGCAGATAATACAAAACGAATTCTATGCCTCTCTTCTGCAAATAACCAAGGAAAAAGCAATTGCTACCAAAGCGCACTGAGATTAGTTTCATATTCTCGTAAACTATTCGATATCTTTGCGTATATGTTTGTGCATTCGTAGTACTTCAATAAATGTTATCTGTCATTTGAGTGCCCCTGTTCTTTTCTCTTGTGGCGCTCTCCTAGGCCGCAAGCGAATTCTCACGCACACTACTTATATGAAAAAAACGATTTATTAATCATCGGTGAGAGAAGTAAAAGTTTACATGATACATTCTATGTTTTTAAAGAGCAAATATTTGCATGTTATTAACTTATTGTATTTGGTATTTATAATTTGTTTCTTCCTGTCTGAATATCCTTTCAAAATTCGAAGGAAAAGCAAACATCAAACCGATAGACGTTTAGAAAAGTTTTCTTGAAGGAAATAAAAAAATGAAAACAGAAGACTCGGCTACAAACTCCAGTTCTACATCACCACTGGTAGGAACCGCTGATGAAGTGGAAGCGATTGCCAAGTCATTTGAATCTGGGCACAAACATGTGTACTACACGGGATGCCTTTCACTTCCGACATCTCGGTCGATGCCCACTTCAACATCTGAGGTGGGTAATTCGTCGAACGGTTTAGAAAGAAGCCATGTTCCAGTGCAAAGCGAAATTAGCACGACACTCGGGGACTTTAGCTTTCTTCCACATCCGCAGTACGCTAATTATAATCGTAACTGTAACAAACTGCTTTATTTGCACCGGTTAGAGGTCAACCTGAGCAACTAGGGTCATGACTACTGTCCCTCGGCTAAAAGAAGAGTAACGATGCGTTTATCTGGTATATCGGAGCGTTACTCTCAACATAATACATCTGGGGAATAGCTTTCTAAGAACTTCTTCTATTCCATATTTCTGTCCCCATTGACTACCCATTTTTGGTGTGCATCTAAAGAGTTGGTAGGCACAAATAGTTCTACAAGCATGCGTACAGCAGTGATTGGTAATTCTCTACTTTAAGTTTTTTTGTATTCGCTTTCTTTTATAGGTTCCCATATTCCCAAGGAAGTGAAAACCCTTTCTATCAAAAAAAGTTAATCATTAAAAAAGGGTTTCAAAGGTAATGACGGTTGCTCCTTCTCGTCCAGTGGAGATTATCGTGCATGATGTGGCTTCTAGACGCACCGTAGACTTCAAATGTGATATCGATCTCCTGCGCTGCAATATGAGGTATTTCGATCCCATTATTAGAAAGCGATTGGAACTGGAAAGTGCCAATCAATGTGAGACAAACGGAAGTAGTGACGACGTTGCGAGGGTATTTGTTCCCACGGAGTCCAGCTGCATCTCTTCTTTGACTGAGCCAGTCTCCATAAAGGTGAACTGTGACGTTGATATTTTCCACTGGCTGTTTGATTGGATGATGGCGTCAAAGAAGCCAGCGTTGAAGCCTTCCATTGTTGTGTCCGTATTGCTTTCCTCAAATTTTTTACTTATGAATGATTTAGTAGAGGTGGCTCTGCAGTATTTGTGCGGTCACTTTGTCGAGGTGATCCTTTCAGATGTGGACATGAATTGCTTGACGGGAGAACTGGTTGGGCGCCTTTGCAGTATCATCACGGACGCAGATTTGGCTCGATGGTACCTGCGTCTTTATCAATTTGGGAAGGAGAACCACCCTAACCGTTCTTTTATGACGTCTCTGTTGTGGCATTGGGTGATCGATCGTGTCGGTTACGCGGTTTTTCCAACAGGGAGTCTCAGCGGCGACAACCGTGGTGCACCGTCTTCGAGGACAACGCCCCTCCGTCGACCGGAGTCCCGCAACTTTCAAAGCAATGAAGGAGCTTCACGGCCCTCAACGCGATTCAGCGTTGTTTCGAAGAGGGGAAGCCACTTACAGGACCAACCCCGTGCGGGAGGGTTTGTTGAAACTGAGAATAACACTCTATCTAACGAGTTTCGAGGGGAGAACAACGGTGGGTTGCGATGGTGCTGTCTATGTGGCATACTCTTTGACAACCAGGAGTACAGGCGTATCCTTCGTAGCACCGCTCACACCAGCTCGAAGGGGGCTCTTCCTAACGATGGGCGGTCCCCCTCGATCCCGACCTCCCAGCCCGTGAAGGAGTGCATATGTGCAGGGCTAAGCTCGCCAACGGGTGGGCCCTGCATGGGTCCTCGCGGCGCGATGTTCACGACCCACGCACCCTCCCGCCTTTCGGTATCCCTGGAGCCCCCCTCCCCTCGGTTGAAAAGTGGTGCCGTCGAGCATTGGGCGTGGCAGGTGGTGGGGGTGATGCGGTTTGTTGTGTGCTGTCGTTGTCGACGCATCCTGCCCTTAATAGAGGTGGTCTCGCACCATTGCAAGAGCGCCCAAAAAGGATTGGAGTTTGCGCCGGCAGAGCGGCTCACCCCAGGCACGTGTGCTGCGTTGGATGTGTATAGTCTCATTCATTGGTATAGGCATATGGCGCAGGCGGGAGTGTACCGTGAGGAGGGCAACCTGGTGCCCATCCGCTGCCCTCCCAGTATGGTTGGCTTTCTCAACGCGGAAAGAATTTTGCTGTCAACTCCCACGACCAAACAGAAGCGGACTTCGTTTCTGACATCGGATCCCCCCAACACCAGCTGTGCGGTGCGGACCTATTCATGGGACGCGGACCCAGTGGCGGTGGATGAAGTAGTGATGCAGGAGGTAGCCCTTTCAGCCAGCCAGGGCAATCGGCGTCTTATTGACGTTGACGTTCAAAACCACTATGAGAGACAATTTATGAACGCGCTGATGGCACGGTTGTCAGCAACACGCACTACTTCTTTATCCTCAACAATGAGGCCTCAGGAGGTGCGACATGGCGACGATCCCACCACCGCATTTCCTACCCCACACTCCCATTTTGCAGATGGCAACTCAATTACAAGTGGCCATGCCTCTTCAAAGCTGATTCGGGCAGACACGAAAAGTCGTGGTTTGGGCCCCTCTCGAGCTAACAAGGCTTCTGGGAAGACCCCTGTGTTAAGTGTCTACTGTAGTCCCCCGAGCCCCCGAAACTCTCATTCTCGCAATCAGAATCGAAAAAAAGGCAAAATGGTGAGGGAAATGTCATATTTACCTCGGGTCTTGTCTCAATTCGAAAAGTAAACCATTTAAGGTGCAGTTAGCGCTATTTAACTCCATGGACTACAGTAGCGTGAGCTGTAACGAAAATACCATCATGCGTTTTGCTTTTGTAAAGTACCCTCGTTTGAGAGGACATTTATCGATATATTAGAGTAGAATGGATTCACAGCGGTGACGTTAGGTGTATAGACATTTGCGTGTATATACATACCTGTATGCGTATTAATACATGTAGCTCATTATTGACTTCCTACTACTATGACCCGTTTAGGAGCAATTTAATTCGACGTAACGAACTCTAGAAGAAATTTTTGAATTTACCTTCTTCAAAGCTTTCTTTGTTCGTTTTACCTCTCCTTTCTGGTAGTGGTAATGCGTCCACAGCGATGCATCTCCACAACTTTGACGCCGAGTAGCATATTATTAAATAGTTGGAATCATGTCCCTTTATCTCACGCTCTCGGGTCTGAACGCCGCTGTAAAAGTGATGCCCCTGTTTCGCTTCGTAACTCTGCACACGGGCACCTGTGGTGGTGCGAGATGCCATCAGTTGAGCAGCTGGAACGCATTGATGTGCTTACCTATCAGTTGGGACGTTACCCCTACGTGTGCATGAGAAATTCTATGCCGAAGACGAAGCTAAATGTGTGGGCACCAGGAGAAAGCGATAAACCCAGCGGTGGCGCTAGCAAGACGCACGACTTGGCTCAAGAGGAGCATGCGTATTTGGCAGCGGCGGCGTTTCCTTCCCCTCATAGACGACCCCTAAAAGGACTTGGCAGGATGGGTGACTCGATCGCCCTATCACAGAACCCAAAGGCGAGAATGCTAGAGGCTCTGCAGCTTCCACAACGACGCTTCGTGGCGTCTGAGGCTCCCACACCTACGCCAGCTCGCGAGGCGATCACCGTATCTAGCTCTTTGCAGCAGCCCGGGGTTCCTTTGTCTACGACGACATCATCGCCTATTTTACCCACTCGACTGGTGCGGTTCAGGGTGAACCCCGAACCCATGGAAGATGTGAACTGCATCCACCCCTTTACTCCTATTGAAAGAGTTCGTGTCATCCACAAGACATGGCGGCGTCGACGCAAGAGGGAGCTGCAGCTGGATGAGGAATTGGAGGCAACCGCGTCCATTGAGGTTTCGTCTGATCTTAACCGTCTCCTAAAAAGCCCATTCTGGGATGAGGAAGCCGTGCTGTTCCGCTTTGGCATGGGTGGCCATGCTGCTCCGGATGGCATTCCCGGCTTTGATGGTCTGTTTAGACAACACTGGAAGGACTTTTATGTGACCGAGATAGTAGTGGATATTACGTGCCCCTGCGGTGGACGACCATTGTCGCGAGATTATTCCTTCGCTATCCCACCACTGCCGTCCTTTCTGCTGCATGGCGAGGACAGCATTAAAGGAGACGCCGTGCTGCAGGAGGCACCCAAATCCGATGTGGCATCGGACATCACGACTGAGGGAGAATGCACTGCGAGCAAGAATATGGCTCGTGAATATGATAAAAGCTCTTTCCGGATTGCATCTGTTTCATCTAACGTGAGTGCGGCGGTACTCAATGGTGGCGACGCTCGCTTGGACCAAGATGAGGCTTCCTTCTTCGATGTCGATGTGTCTGCAAGTATAGAGGAGCAGCGATGTGATGCTCTTGGGTACCTGAAACGTAATCCACCACAACGTTGCCCAGGATCCGGTGTACAGGGCGAAGAAGAACGATCTTGGTTGCTCCGTGAAGGTACGTTTGACCGTGTTTCAGCCATTCCGGGTGATGCAATTAAGCAGTCGGTCCCTGATGATAAAACCTTCGAGGGATATAAAAAAGAGCTGGAACGGCTTGAAGAAATAGAAACTGTGCTGCACCAACGCGAGCGGCGGCATTCTGTAGGACACGAGAAACTCCCCCTAACTATTGCAGCTGATGCTTTGCAGAGTCATACTTCGACAACTGGGTCTTCCACACCGTACTACTTGGAGTGCACGTTGCACAAGCAACACGTAGCGCACGGTACGGCCTTGGCTGCCATTGCCCAGGTACTCCGAGTTCACCCGCGCACCATCAGCGTCGCAGGAATCAAAGACTACATCGGCGACACGGTGCAGCGCGTACGCGTCGAGGGGGTCTCCCCGAGCTCCGCATTGCAGGCGAACCGCATTTTGCACCAAAAAGGTGTACACATCACGTTATCTGATTTTTCGTACAAAACGACCCCGCTTCGATCTGGTGAGTTGTTTGGGAATCACTTCCGTATTGTGCTACGCGACGTTGAAGCCCCTAGGGGTGCGATACAGGATGCTGTGAATGCCTTCGTGACGCACGGTTTTCCAAACTACTACGGTTGCCAGAGGTTTTCGTGGTTTGCCGGCAAAGAGGACGCCGCTTTTGCGCTTCTCCGACACAACTGGCTTGGGTTTGCCTTTCGTTTTCTGAACTATACCACGACTAGCCGCACCTTGCGGCAGCTGTTACAGCGAGAGAAGAAGTACCCTAACCCAGTTATGGACGAATACCGCCGGAACGTCGTGCGACGTCTTCGGCAGATCGCTGTGGAACCTAAGGACCTCGACCATGAGCCTTTTTTATCCATGCCGTGTCTTAGTGAACCTCAGACCATGAACACCGCTGCTGATTTGCTGAATCAAAAGCAACAGCTTATTATATGGCAGCTCCGCGAGGCCTACTTTGACCTTCATCTACAGAGCCGCCGGCTGACCGCGCAGAGGCTGTCGAGTTACTTATGGAACCAAGTTCTGACCCTTCGTCTGCAACGCTTCCCATCGGACGCAGTGCTCGATGGGGATTTTGTGGTGCCTGCGATGTACCGAAATGTTTCAAGCAACGGCTGGGATCGCGCGGAGTGTGTTTACCTTCATCGTGACGTCGTGAACGCAACGAATCGGCACCAGTACTCGATTAAAGATGTCGTGCATCCCGGCTTCAGTTTTGACGGCATTTCTCTACCGGATAACGAGATAGGTTCTTATTACGCCCACGTTTGCGACCGGTATCGCTTGGATTGGAATGCCAAACACTCCAAATCCGGCCTTTGGGACTTCCGTGAGCCGCCACGGCCCATCATTCGACACCCCATCGAGCTCTCTTTCACGCATAACGTGGAGGCCCGGACCTTAACGCTCGAGTTCGCGCTGGAGCGGGGGTGCTACGCCAACGTCGCGATCACGGAGCTGATGAAACAGGCTCGTTGTGTGGGCGCGGAGGACCTCACGCTGCTTCCGGTCCCGGAGGACCTGTGGGATCGACTGGGCGATCCCGATCCGGGCTACGTGACGGCCCTGCAGGATGTCTACCCCGACTACGACGACGGGCACGGCACCGTCCACGACACGGAGACGATCCCCGTCGACGCCGAGACCGAAACGAAGGTTTGGGACCTCCCAGGCCCCCTTTTCCTGCCCAAGGAAGAGGACCCCTACCGTAAGGCGCACCGGTGGGGCTCCCGGCACCTCCTGCGGAACATGCGGCGACGCCTGCTGGAGGCCGAGGGTATGAAGCGCCGACTCTTTGAAAAGCCCCTGGCTCGAAAGTTGGAGGAGGGGGAAATCGCGCAGTACGCCGGTCATACCGTTCCCATGTCCCCCAACGCACCAAGCAAGCGATTGTTTTTCAAAGTGTTGCGGCGGAACCGACGGTACGCCGGGGCCCCCAAAATGACTCCACGCTTCGCGCGCATGACTCAAACCCCGGGTCGTCGGAAGGCATTACCGGCATTCACGACCCTCAATAAAGACTCGTGGAATGTAACTTGGTAAGGGCGAGTTCGTTTATGTCTACGTAAATTTATATCATTTGATTTCTTATTACACCTCTGGTAGTAGTGGAGACCGTTTGCTAAAAAGTCGTATTCTTCTCTAATTCCCCCCCCACCCCCCACCCCCTCTCCCATATCGTTATTTGAAGAACCAACACTGTTTTCAAAGCGAATCATTCCTTATGAAATAGACTGCTCAATTCACCTTTATCCGATTGAATTCATCGTTCTTGTAACCTCACAAATATCTCAAAGAACTTGTATTTGTACTTTTTGAGTCTCTGCGGCTCACACATCAAACGATAAAGCTGTTTCTCAAGTATCAGAAAAAGAATCTGGTGCTGAGAAAAAGCCCTCAGAAGAACTTGGATCATTAGCATACATATCCTCGAACGGGGAAGACGTAAAGCAGGATAGCAAGCTGCAAGAGGATGTCAGTTATCGACCGCTCTGCTGGCTATCGCACGGCCAAGGACGACGCCCCGCCGTACGATCCCTCGCTCTGGGAGGGCCGCGACTGCGCCTACATCACCTATCTCGGGCGTCAGCTGAACGACCCGGTGGTCCGGCAACGTCTCGCCGCGCGGGCGTCCGAGCGGGGGCGACAGTTGGCGTCGATAGCCTCCCCCCACATAACGACGGATACCACCCCTCCCCTCGTGCGGCCGCCGACCCTCCTAGAAGGAGCCAAGGGCTACGGCGGTCTCCTTTGGAGGTGGGCGATTTCCTCTCTCGTTCGATTCGCCACCTCCTTGGTACCGAGCGGTTTCCGCCACCCGGGGATCCCGTCGAACGTTTCCCTCGAGGAGCTCTCCTCGGAGGAGTTGCTCACGGAAATGCAGATGGCGCTGGCCTCGGGCCACATGGAGCGATCCACCCAGATCGCACGCGAGCTGGCCAGTCGCCGCGTGGCCTTCGAACTTCGGCCCGTCGCTGCGGATCCGAATACCCCCGCGATGGCGCCCGCCCAGGCGAAGCGCGCCGATCACCTCTCGGCGGGATATTCGGGCTGGATTTCAAGCGCCCCACCCGCGAACGCAGACCCGTTTGGCAGGGTAAATCCCCCAAGCTCAGGAGGGGTCTCACGTGATTTTTCTCCCTTCGTCCGGGACGCCAGATACGAATTGAAGGCCCCGATAGTCGGGGGCTACTCCTCTCGGGCGCCGTCTCTCCCTAGCCTTAACTCTGTCATCCCGAGTATCGATCCCCCGTACCGGGAGTCTAATCGACATTACTAGTAGGGGGGTGATCATCGCGTTAGGATAGCACGGGCCCCCCTCTGGGGGGAAATCCCCCTTTACCATCTATAGATGGCGTTGTGGTTGTGTAAAATTTATATTGTGGGTCGTGATGGAGAGGTTAGCTGGTGGGCGTAAGTGTTGTACCGTGGATGTTTTTTTTTTCTTTCATTGCATCTGTTGCTTTAAATAAAAACCACTCCAGATGTATTAACTCCGCTGCACCGAAGGGTGGGCAAACGTCTTTACGCATTCGTACGTTTAGTCGTTCTTTGTCATTTCTATGCATTTTGCCCATATTGTGTCATGTTTTTCCGTTTTTACGCACTACTTCAGCTGATAAGAATTGTCTTACTTTTTCCAAATTACCTCCAGTCGTAAAATTTACATTTCACAGTATATGGATATATTTTTCATTCCTTTCTCCACTTATTACAGAATAATTTAGATGAAAACAGGACAAAAGGACGACATTCCTCATGGCGCTTTTGTTTCTGAGAAAGTTAAACGCTGAGGATTCTTTTTGCACCTTCGTCCTTAACCAGGTCCATGGTGCTGGCGGAGTCGTGTGGCATTCCTTAAGACTGATGATACACCGTTGTGGGCTTTATCTCATATTGAATATGAGACCCCTCGCTTCCTTTGACTTGGGATGAATCGACCGAAAGTTGTTCGCACCTCATTGTAAAATGCTTGGGAGAAAATTTGAGAGGAACCATTTGGTGTAAAGCATGGTGTTACCAACTTCCTAGAGGTTCAGCACTAGGTTGGGCATGTGTTGGCGTTCCTCTCCCTTCCCGATCACTCGCTTGCGAGCGACGGGCTTACGGTTCCTTTTTCCGTATGCTAAGAAAGGAAATATAATTTAGAATACTAGATAGCGCAAAAAATAGTCAGTATCAGTGAAAAAATGGTGAAACGATTAGTGAAAACGTAAAAAACTGTATCAATTCCACAGAAGGAGTCTAACTATTGGAAATAGAAAAGAGGGTAAAAAAAAAGGGTAATTCAAAGGATTCAACCAATCCTTACCGATTTCTCTATCGCCCTGTCCACTTCTTGAAACAAAAGTAAGCAGATACACGTGAAATGACCCCCCCTTGAAGCGCCCAAAAAAGACTTGGTTCGATACGTGTGGGGTGTTCGAGGCGACCATGCTGACTGCTGCTCTGGTTACTTTCGTCGGGCCACGGCCGCGTCGCGCTCCTGTTTCTGCTTCAGTGCCGCCGCGCGCCTTTGCCAAAAGAGGTTCGCCGTACTGCTACCGCTTTCGGAGCTTTTGGATTCCTTGTTGGAGTCTTTTCGCTTTCCTCCTCTCGCGTTGTTTTGTACCGCATTTCCTCTGCCCTTCCTGTGGCCCCACGACGAGGCTGTGGTGGACGAATCGTCACGGGAAGAGGACGGACGTTCCCGGCTGCTGGTGAGTGTGCTGCGCGTCGGCGACAGCGTCGAGCGTCTCCTAGAAGATGACAGGGATGAGTATTGAAAGGATGAACTCCGATCGCTTCTAATGTGCTCCGCGATGCTTGCAGGCGGCTTGCGGGAATCTTCTTCGCTAACGTAATCCTCAACGTTTTCAGCCGAACTAAAAGACGACGTTTGAATAGGGGTGTATGAAGGAGACGTTGATGTCGAGGATACGGTTACGGCCAGACGCTTCTCTTTCCTACTCCCTCCCTTCCCTTGATTGTTCTCTCGGATGCGCCTGCCATCACCCTTCGAGAATGTCGCTGGGCGATAGGGTGGCTTTTTATAGGGTACTGGCTCTTCTTTATAGTCATGGACAATCTCTACCGTGATCGTTTTCGCGGCGTGCTTACTTTTTCTCTCAGAAGCGCGTTGGCGTTCCTGCTGGCGCTGCAGCTGGGTCTCATATTCAGTGAGGCTCGTCTTCAATTGTTGCAGGCGTGCACGAAGGGTGTGGAGGGTACAAGACAGTTCAACGCGAGCGGCATCGCTTAGCTCCGTTATCTTCCCCTCCGCGTTTCCGCCCTTCGTTTTTTTTTCGTCAACTAAATTGAAGGCCTCAATCAGTTGCTGCCGCATGTCATCATAGGCGATCGTCTTAAGTCCACATACTTCAATGTCTTTCACAATTTTATCGACCGAATCGGCCATCAGATTTAGCGGCGGCCAACCGGCCATCTCTTCGGCGAGCGCGTTGCGTTGCCTGGGTTGATGCGGGATCTCACCGCCGGTTGGGGGATCCTGCATTTCTGCGCTGTTGGGTAGATCCTTCAGCGATGGGCTAGGCGACTCAGGGTCTTTGGCCACTGGACTCACGCTTCGGGGTAAGGAACCCTGACCAGTCACCTCATCGGGGGTTGGCCTAACGCTATCTGGCGACGAAGTTATGGAGGGTGTTTTTCGGGGTTCCGCCGTATCCCCAGAGCCCCCTGGGTCCAGAACAGGATCACGAAGCGGGGTCGAAACCCACACCTCCGATTTTTCTATACTTGATGAAGCTGCGGATCCTTCTGCTTCACCTTCTGTATCGCGTGCTGCGCCCACGCGCTCGTGGTCAGGCTTCTCACCATATACTTTCTCCCTAGGGATCGTATTTCCCTCTGAATTCTTGTTCCTACCGTCGCCATCGACGGGCGCCACATTAGGATCCGCGCAGGGATCGACGATCTGAGGCTTCGTCAGAGCGGCAGGTGTTGGATCTGATTGGAGACGCGCGGAAGGGTTCCTATCCATGTTGAGTGCGGATACCATGGAGGAAAACCACCCTGAGCCGGGAGCCCCATTCTGGCGCCCCGCAGCGCCGGCTGGTACAGCCGATGTCCGCGCAAATTCCGGATACCTTCCAGGGAGTGAGTTGGAGCCCGAATACAAATCTTTATATGAATAGGAACCATAGGGATCTCGGTAGTAGTCGTTGAAAACGAGATTCAGGCGAAAGAAGGTATCTGCTGGCGAGTGCATCGGATTCACCCTTTTCCCTTCCAGCTCTGGCCTGATGGATGCTTCTGTCTCTCTAATTAGGAATCCGTTTCGCTTTCAAGTGTGAAAATGAACCAATAACTTAGTGATTCATGTATTCGTCTTGAAAAAATCAGCCATATAGGAAATGAATTTCGTGTATTAACATCAATATTGGAAGTCAAAAAGGGGCAAGAAGTAAGAAACAATAATACGTAATGAAACGACAGCTTAATAATCGTGTTGTAATACGGATAACAAACAAGCACCTCTCCAAAAAAAAATAATCCTATACACATCTAATCGATACACCGCGCGTAAACTTAAAAAAGAAGCGATGCATCTACAACATCCTCCGGGCGACCAATCAGAATAACCGTTTCTCTTTCTTTCTTTGACGTCTCGATCAGAGAGATAACGAGGGATTTGTACACCTTTTCAGACGTCATGAACCCTGTCGATTCCTTTCGAACATCACAGTATACCACACCTTCGCGTCCACCGATGGGGGATTTGAGGACGAAAACCATCTGGAGACGACGGGGTTTGAGCCCGAGGAGATCCGAAAGTTCATAAGAGCCGCTTCGAATCCGTCTCAGCAGTGGGAGCTTGAATCCCCCTGTGGCGGCGTACGCTTTGAAAGCCCCAGTGCGAGGGTGTTGCCCGAGAAATTCCCGCACCTTGGCGTTGCGCATCACAAGCGCAATGGAGTGGTTGTAGACGACGTTGGAGTTGATCTGTACGCGTCGTATAATCTGAATAATGGTCGTATAGATTACCATGCAACATACAAAGCCGCTCACAAACCCCATGCGGGCGACCGTATGCGGGTCAAACCGGAAAGCTACGATCATCCCTTTGAAGAAGACGTACACCACGACAAGAGCCGTCATGATGCTGGCGAATATCTTGGTGTAGAAGATAACGCTGTCGGCTGGGAGGCCGAAAACGGTACCGCGGTAGCGAGGCGATTCCATATCGTACGCCAAATCATCCAACGTCACCTTCGTGGAGGGTGAGCGAAACAACTTATCCATGAACGAACGTCGTGGCGAGTGATGCGGGCATCGGTTGTCGGTGAAAGTTGCCACGCCGGTGCGAAAGCGCTGGAAAGACGGGCCTAAACGAGGTCCCGCCGGGGCTGGCGTCGTCGAAACTCCCACGAGGGTTACACCCCAAAGCCGGTGCGGGGCCCCTGTCAGTGTGGCGAGTCCCCTGCGTGCGAATTGCGTGGAATTGGTTGATCCAAAGAGGGTCGATGCGGAGGCACCTCTACAGGATAAAGGTAGGAAACAATTCATTGTTTGCAATTATCTCGTCCGTAACCAATATTAGCTTTCTAAGTGAAGCGTTACAATCTTGAAATCGAACTCACGGCCACGCACTCATTCAAATCGGAAAATTAGAAAGACCTATATGCACTTTTTCTTAAATTTGATTATTTAACCTTTTGCTTTGCTTCAAAGCTGAGAGAAAAGCAGCTCGACTTTTGCGAACGTGTATTTAAGTGTGGATGTGGAAATGAACCCAAGTGGTACGCTTCATAAAGAAGGATCGAAGTGGCGAAAAACGAAAGCTTTTCACGAAGAGAAAATGCAATCTTAATCAATAACTCGGGCACACATCCTCTTTGAGTTTATTTTGAGGAATAATAGGATGTTTAGGTTTCATACAATATACAAGTGCCATGTGTTTCCCTACACTTTACATGTTAAGAGAGGATTAATGAAAATGATGGGAACCCTAATGCAACAACAACGAAAATAAAGACAAATATAAGCTAAACCAGTGGAACTCTAAGATATAAGCACCATCATGGTATCATTAAATTTGCACACGCTTGAAAGCATACGTTCATCAAATCCGTTTCTCCCCAAATGCATAGCGAAAAGAAAGACTATGTATAGGCCTTTTTAAAAGGTGCCAGTAAAAAGCAATAGGTCTGCTCGACTTTAAAGATGCAAACCAATGATTGTTTAAAGTTCCCTCTTTGGCACTTTAAGCAATCATTTGCTGATTTGACGCATTCATGATATGATTATACACTTATGGTACTTGCGATGATGATTAACGTGAACAGGAGGAGAACAACGGCGACAATAATTACTATACAGATGAATTTTTTCTTGACCTTTTTCTGGAGCTTCCGCGCTTTTTTAAGCTCTGAGAGACTGACCTCTACATACCGTGCACTGTTCTTCACATTAGTAAGGATCACATCCATTAGCTCACCTTGCTCTTCAACCATTACTGCCATGTCATTAAATATGCGGTTGAGCTCACGCATAGAATGTTCGATGCGATAGATGTCGTTTCTAGTTTCTATAATCCCAAGAAGCACATCTTTGCTTTGCTGAAAGATGTAATCATTAAGATTGTTATCTAGAACCTGCTGTGCGAGTCTCTCAGCGGTCTCATCATCAATCTCTATGTCCTCTGAGTTCTTGTACATTATCTTTATTTGACGCTTGGTATGATCTTTATAAGACGACTCGTTCGCCATCTGCAGTTTACGATAGATCTCCATGACCTGCATAAGCTTGCCCAAAAGGTATCTATACTGATTATCTTGAATACGCACAATCGAACTGTTGGCCTGCAGAATTTCCGGACTCTCCTTCAGTTTTTCTGTTTTCTTGCTCATGGCGTCCAGTCCTGCCTTGGCAAAGCTAGCCTTTTCATTGCACTGGCCGGAAAGAGTCTCAATTTCGCTCCGAAACTGTCGAGCATGGTTTTGATCAATGGTTTGGAGGTTTACTGCATGCTTCTTCTGCAGCTCTATCGTAAGCTTCTCCATCTCTGCAATGACACCTTTCAATTCATCTACGTCATTAAAAAATGCATCTAATGTTTCTGCGGCATTTTGATCAACCTCACTCACGGGTAGGTTAAAGCTTACGATGGAACTTTTCGCACGAAAATCAGCCTCGTGCTCTGGAGGAGTGTAAATGCTATTATTTTCAGTATGAAATTGTGTATCCGTTCCCAAACCAGCAATTGCCCTAACTTGCGATAACCGATCCATTTCACGTTCCCTACACTGATTTACTCCGTCCCAGACTCCTCAAACGAAAAAATCTAAACAGCTTCACCACAAAAAACAAAGGAATAAAAGAAAATGTACGTTCGCTACCTTACTATTCTTAATTTGGTCAGAAAGACAGAACATTATCGCCACATGGCGTTGGAGGGTGTGGTATTTTTTTTCCGTGTACCGACTGGATGATTCTGCTCTTCTCATGCAGAACATGTATGGTAAACGTACATTGTATTAGAATAAGTGCATATATATATATATATATGCGTGTGTATGTCTAGCTGCATTACAGATTTACCATTTTTTTTAGTTCACACCCTGTATCAACCTTCACATGCCATTGCTCCGTTTACCAAAGATCATCATGTGTGGACACAAACCCAAGCTTTACGAAAGTGCAGACGAGAAGAATGCATGAGATCCAAGCAGAATCCACAAAAATGGTTACCATATCCAAGCCTCCCACGTCCATTAAATCCCTCGTATCCTTTCGTTCACCTAGAAGTGTTCACCAATGTTCACAGGAAGTTCTTCAATTTGGGTCGCGTAGAACTGCTCAATATCCTTTAGCAGCCGCAGCTCATCGCGCTTCACAAAGCTAATAGCCAGACCTTTACGTCCCATCCGCCCCGTTCGCCCGATGCGATGGATGTACTGCTCACGTGCGAGAGGAAGGTCGTAATTAATCACGAGCGATACCCGCTCGACGTCAATCCCGCGCGACCAAAGGTCGGTGGTGATGAGAACGCGACTTTTCCCATCACGGAAGTTGCGCATGATCTCATCGCGCTCTGCCTGCGGCATATCGCCGTGCATGGCACTAACGGTGAATTTTTCCCTAGTCATCTTCTTGACCAGCTGCTCAACCTTCTTCCGGGTATTGCAGAAAATAACGGCGTGGGCGACGGTGAGTGAATCGTAGAGGTCGATGAGGGTGTCAAACTTATTCTTCTCCTCATCAACCGCAACGAAGTACTGCATGATGCTGTCCACGGTGATCTCATCGCGCTTGACGAGAATACGTGCGGGCTCTGTCATGAATTTCTCCGTCATGTCAAGCACATCCGCCGGCAACGTCGCGGAGACGAGAACAACCTGAAGAGGAGGTACCATCCGGTAGATATCGTGAATCTGAGCCTTGAACCCCTTTCCCAGCATCTCATCCGCTTCGTCGAGGACGAGCGTCTTGAGGGCATCCACGCGAAGGCATTTCCGCTTGATCATGTCGAAAACCCGCCCTGGGGTGCCGGAGATGATCTGCACGCCGGCCTCCAGCCGCCGCATATCCTCCTCCGTGCTTTTGCCCCCCACACAGGCGTAGGCGGTGAGCCCCATGTGGTGGCCGATGTTGTTGCAAAGGTCCTGCGTCTGCACGGCGAGCTCGCGGGTGGGGGAGAGGATGAGGGCCTGCGTTACGCGCTGCTGTGGATCGCAGGCCTGTAAAAGGCAGATGCAAAACGCGGAGGTCTTACCGGAGCCAGAGGAGGCCTGCGCGACGAGGTCTTGTCGCTTGATGAAGGGTAGGATAAAGCGTTTCTGGATCGCGGTGGGCTGCTTATAGCCAAAGCTGTACATGCCCTTGAGGAGTTCGTCCTTTAGCCCCATCGCTTCGAAGGTCGGGATGGCAAGGACATTAGCCTGAAGGTCCGCTTCGACGTCCTCCATTTCTTTAGGATTAATATTGTTCTTTTATTAATGAAAGTGAAAGCCAATAAGCTATTTCACCTGACTGCTGTGCTATGTATGGGGGGTCGATGTGTAATGTCTAATTAATAGTTCGCTACTTTGTTACTGTCTCCTTTGTTATTTTGTCCTCCAACCAGGTACAGAGATCTCTCTCCAGAAACTTGGTTTGTTTAATTTTTTGAAATATACCTGAACAGAGTAAAACGGTGATGCATAGGTAAAAAGGATATAGTTGTTCAATAAGATCTGACAAAATAGAGTTACGAGAGAAATTGTTTATGTCATTCTTGTGTACAGATAGGGTGCTTTCCATTCTCTATGATTCAAACTGACAGGGTCTTTCCAATACGAGAAAGGCGCAAGAGGGAAAAAATAGCTGAGTGGTAATGAAGCAAAGGAATAAAAGGTCATACTGCATTCGATTTAGTTTTCTTTCCAGTAAACCCCTAGCCGTTACCTTCACCCAAACGGAAAGAGAATCGCCATAAGAGTCAAGGATGCTGTGAACGGATGTCTGTCAAGCGAGGTCCACGTCGATAAACACGCGAAAATACCCAAAGAGCAAGACTTGGAAAATTTACGTTGTAACGCCTCCATTCACCAAATCCAAGAGTATTCACGACCAAGGAGGAACACCATCATCGCTGGGGGGTTTCCCGCTCCATACGCTCACGATACAACGCCTCACGCAGCTCCGAGATGACCGCAGTGCTCCGACGACAGCTCTGCTCGAGAATTTGGACTTGATGCCGAAGCACCTTCTCACTCTCCAGTGCCCGCGTCAATTCGCCAGATGCCTCATTTCCATCCCTAGTCGCGAGGACGGGAGCCGCAGGGTTGACGGAGGACTGATTTAGAAAAGAGCCCCCGTTTGTTAGTTCCACGAGTCTCCCTGGCGATGCCAACGACGTGTTTGTCGAAGAGTTCGCAATAAGCTTGGAGAGAAGCTCGGATTCAGTGCGCTGGCTGCTTTCCAGCACCTTCCGCGCCGTCGACTCCTTCTCAAGCTGAGTACGAGCTTCCACAAGCTGCGCTTTTAACGCCTCTGCGAGGCCAGCCCACTCCGCGATTTCCGCCACGAAACGTTTTTTCCCCTCCGCATGGGCGCTCTGAGATCGATCCAAACGCCCTTTCAAATCCTCCCGCTCCACCTCGAGTTCTTTGACGTGGTCTTGGAGTACAGCCTTGTCTGCTGCCAAGCGCCCTTCGTACTCCTGCCGTGCCCGCTGGACCTCATGCTCCATCGCAAAGACCTTGGCTTCGGCCTCGCATGCCTCGACTTGCTTCTCTTTTCGAAGCTGCTGGAGCTGGGCTTCGAGGGTTTGCGCACGTTTCGTAAGCCCCTCAACGCGTTTTTCAAGTGCTTTGACATCCTTGTAGAGAAAAGTATTCTGCTGTGTTAAGCGGTCGGTCTTTTTCGTGGCCTCCTCAAGTTGCTTTTCATGTTCCCGTGAGGTTTCAGCGGCGGTCTGCGTAGCCGCCTGGTATTGTTGTTGCACCTTACGAAGCCGCTCAAGGACTTTCTCATGTTTTAGACGGATCTCCTGAAGGGTGTTGCGACACGTATCGAGTTCCCCCACCTTCTCCTCCAATTTCAGGATGTGTTTTTGTTGTCTACGATGTGTGTGTTGGAGATTTTCGAGAGCCTCAGTCGTGCTAGCATGCTTCGCTTGAAGCGAATCAAGCTGCGCGGTGAGTTCGGTGGTCTTTCGTTCTAGAGCCTGCCGTTTTACAGTCTGTTGTCGGCGGTGACGCTCGATCACTACACACCACGGCTCCCACACGTCCTGCACTAAGCCTAGTATTCCTTCTAGTGCAAACGCTGCCCGCTCTCGCTCTTCTAGTAGTTCCAGTTGCATGATAGACGCATGCATCTTCACCGAAGCAAGTTGAGTGCTCATTCCCTCAGCTTGTCGGGCATTTCGCGTGGTTTCGAGTTCTAAGCGTTGGGTACACAACTGCAGTTGTTCAGAAAAGTCTGCACGCACTTCCTCGGCCGCGCGCCGTTGTTGGCCTAGCTCTTCTTCCAAACAGCTGATGGCCTCGGCCTGCTGATGGTAGGACCAGACAATCGAAGAATGATAGAGGAACTGGGCTGCACCCTCTACTTCACGGCGCGCGCGTGCCTCCTCATCGATTAGGTTTTGTAATGCTGCTTGATGACTCCGCTCGTGATGATCACTCATCCTATTCAACACGGCTTGCAGATAGTCATGCCGCTTTACAACATCCCTCACTTTTGAAATGACGTCCTGAGGGCTAAAGTTCAGCTCTGAGCGACAGCCGAACAGTACGCGCAGCTCGGCAATGCCCTCACGTAGTACACTGCTTTCGTCGTCTTGAGCCTCAATGAGACAGTTTTTCTCATGCAGCTCAGTCTTCAGAGAGGTGATAAGCAGTGCTTGACTCCTGCTATGCGCTTCCAAATCCTCACGAGCTTTGAGGGTTTCTTGCACCAGTGTACGCATCCGTTTGTTGTCTTCATACAACCTAAAAATATCCTCATCCTTGGAAGTGAGCGCCGCGAAGTAATTCTGCATAACAGTATCCACCTCATCCAATAGTGGAGCGGTCATTTCGGTTTATAATATCCTAAAATGTGTCCTCGGTATACACTGCCTCTAAAAATCTATATCTATTTTTTTTTGCATGTAAACATTACACCATTCTAGGAAAGTTTCAATAAATAAATGTATGCAATGACGAGACGAAATTCTTTTATCGACATCACACTTCACAATGAAATCAAAAGCAGGAAAGGCATTTTTATACATTGTGCTTTACCTCGCATTTCAGAAAGCGTTTCGATCTGAGAATCGAAATATATAAACAACCAAAAGAATTGTGCCCGTATCGTTTTTTTTTTGCTTCAACAGATACATAAGGAATAATAAAGGATTCCAAAAACAAAACGATACACAATCAACTGTGCCTACGAAAATATCCTCCCCTAATCAAGATGCATTTCTTTTTGTCTTTATAGTGGGAGGAGCAAGAACAAAAAGAAAAAAAGAAGAGCGTAAGAAAAAGTTGTGTATAGATGGGGAAGAAGAAGATCAAGGAAATCTTCCACCTTTTTTTTTTCACACATCTGAACGACACCAGTTCCACACACTGAAATGTATCTGGGTTTAGATTCGTCCAGGACATTTCCCGCCCTCCTGTTAGGATAAAAGAAACTGCCCAAACTGAAAATACCCACCGTTCACTCGTCATTATCCGACGCAGAGCCGGGGTTGCGAAGGAGCAACACGTCCTGAATGTCCTGCTCGACCTCTGCGCGTTTCAGCATCTCCGTCTCCGAGAGGGTAGGGCGTTGGGTGGAGCAGGAGGTCGTGCTGATACCTCCACGCGTCGCGGTGATCCCGGGCGACCCCTCACCGCGTACCTTGGGAGGATGGCGCCCCCCTCCCCCCCTTCCCAGGCCGGCGAGGGCGAGCGAGGCGGTCCCGACGGGGCCTCTGCCCCGGCTGTGGAGGGCGCGCCCACTGGCAAGGCGGGATTCAAACTCCTCAATCTCCTGAGAGGTGCCCGCGCTGTCTTTGGACTCATCCGCCGCGTAGGCCTCTTGTAACGCGCGGTCCAGCGCGACGCAGGCATCCACTCCGTTGACAGGCATCTCGCGCTTTTAGAATACCAGTTCCCCAGGTTAGACTATATCCACACACACACACACACAAAGAGACAGATGCACACTCTCTTTATATATTTTGCTTCTACTTCGGGTGTATTTCCTTCTTTTTTTTTTGTGAAAAGTGTGTTGAGGGAAAATAAGATCCTCAGAACATAAAGGCGGATGAAAAGTGCACCATTAATTGTTTTGTCATATGCAAATAAAAGAGTGCGAGAAAGGGCTATGAGTATAGGCGTGCAGCTAAAAATATATACGTAGAAAGGCGAATTTGCCTTTGCCGAAAGCAATAAAAAAAGAAAACAAGCATGTTTGCTATTTATTTAGCGTATTGGGAAATAGGTATGGATAACAACATAAAAAAAAGAAGCAATTCCATTGTTTTTAAAAATGTTTATAGCCCTCAACAGAATATGATGCCGACTTGCTCGACATAGACACTTTACTGTGCATAGCTCCATGACAAAAACGATGGAGGGGTTGAACTCGCGTGCGTGAAACGCAAGCTGTAATCTTTCAACGAAAAAACAACTGAAGGAGAAGCGCCGGTAAAAGGAAAGAGTCTCTTTTATGAGTCTGTTGGTACGCGTCCTGAGAGAATGAAGGAGGAGAAACGAAATGTGCTCATAGAAATGCACAAATGTGTGGCCTTTGTGAAAAATCACACAAAATTTAGTATTTACCCAAACAACATTCAGTAAAATGCAATGTTTACAAACAGACAAAAACTGCAATTCATTTTGCCGTTTACTTTTATCGACTTCCAAGCATTAACTATAGTATACAGTCCATAGTTCATTATATTCGTTTACTTTTCCCTTTTTAAAATATTCCGAAAAAAAAAGACCAAACCAATAGTAAGGATTGTTGAGTTTGGTCGTAAGGGGACAGCGTAAAATAATGTGAGGCAAAAAATCAGACGAAAGTCAATAAAGCAAGCATTTCTTTTAAAATCCCGTTTACCACGCACTCCAAGATGGATGGGTAAATGAGAGCCATCATATTTTTCTCCAGCTCGATAGCTTGAAGAGTTTATTGAATTTCTAATATATAACACCTCTTAACTAAAGCAACCATTCGCCTTATGTAGAGGTGCGTAACTCACTAAGACGCGCAAATAAATGCGAGTTCCTCCTCCGTTTTATTCACTTCATTTTTTACTAAGGAGTTATTCTTTGGAGGTTTGTTTGGTGCTTGATTCAAACGCTCCCATTCCTCTCGCCGGGCGTTCTCGTAAGTTTGTCGAAGCATCCAATCGTAAACATAGTCATTCGAGTACCTGAGTTGAGAAAAAAGCCAGCGGAATAGATTACGGAGGTATGCATAGTTCGGAGTTTCCTTGAACTTCAATGCACGGGTGTAGTTAATGTAGCTTATGAACTCAGTTGGTAAGCCTTCACAGAGTACATCCACTGTCGTGGACATCTTGTGTTGTGCAATAATCTTGCAATTGGGGTTCTGGAGGCCTTGCCATGGAAGGGAGCCCTTCATAAAGTAGACCAATATGTAGCCAAGCGCTTCCAGATCGTCACGCCTAACCTGCTTTATACCAAGGTGTGTGTTCACGCTGCAGTACCGTAGGGTGCCCATCATGGGGTTGCCCTCGCTGTAGTCCATGTGAGCTCGATTGCGAGTGTTGTAGTACTTTCTAGAGAGACCATAATCGATGAGAAACACATGATGGTTTTGTTTACCCAACCCCATCAAAAAATTATCGGGCTTGACGTCTCGATGGATTACTCCACGACCATGAACATACTCTAGTTGTCCAATCATTTCGTCTGCCAACATGAGTGTTGTTTTGAGTGAAAATTGTCTACTACAACTTGTAAAAAGGGTTTCCAGCGACGGGCCTAATAGATCCATCACCAGAATGTTGTAGTCTCCCTCCGTGCCATAGTAGTACACTGCCGGGGTAAACGCCGGGTTGTTTAGTGCAAGATGACAATATAGCTTCCACTCGATATTAAGTTGTGAGGACAAGTTTGTAGACTCAAGCTTAATCGCTACCTTTTTATTCATAATTTGATCCATACCGATGAAGATATCCCCGAACGAGCCACTTCCGATTTGACTCAAGAGCTTGTACCTACCATTAACGATGATTTTAGGGATAGGAAGGCCTCCCAGACTTGTGTTTATCTCGTTTGGTTCTGTATGAAACATATCTGGAAGCTCATGCAGCAATATGTTTGTATTATTTGTGAGAAGAGTTGAAAAAGAACTCAAATACTATCAAAAATTCGTTTTCGTGTTGTTGCTTCCACAGACGATTCGTGACCCCACGGTCTGTCCTCGTATTCCCTTGAGTATAGATGAATCGGAAGACAATTTTGGAAGACTGTTGTACCTAAATTAGCTTTCTACCACTGACGAATCCGTAAAGCAATAGCTAGAAAGCAGGGCCTATATAAAATAAGAGATAGCATATTTATTCCTTTTTAAGTTGATGCGTTTCTGCTTGCCAGGCAGACAACTCTCCAGCTGTATCTGTCTCTTTCTCGTTACCTATAGTAATAAATATTACGACCGACTTTAAAATACTACTTAGTTCAAATACAATTGTACTCGTATTTTTCGTTATTCACTCTTTACTTATAGAACTGAAACTTAATATAAAGCATGTGTTGATTCGATTCTATGCAAAATTATAAATCAAGCATGCAATATTTGGTCATGCTATACAATCCGATGTAATTATTTACCCTGAGAATTCAGATAACGGTTATATTTGTCATATTTACTCGAAAAAACAAGTGAGTAACAAGTAGTAGTTGATGTACTATATATATATATATGTATAAAGAAAGCAAACAAGAATCAAAGCATACAATAAAGTTGAAAAGTTGAACTTCATCGTTGACATTTTTCATGCACACCAAATTTTAACCTTAAGAATCACTAATTTCGCCCATATCGAATGACTGAAATTGAATTCAAATTTCTTGTAACCAAAATTGGTGTATTCGCAAAAAAGTGAGTCTAATCTTCTATTCAGTGTACATGATTTTTAAAATATTCAATAAAAAAAACAAAAACAGGAAGACAATAACAATCCGGCATCACTCTGCTGGTCGATTAGTAAATACCGGATAAACCGGCGCTTATCCATCCCAGGATGAGAATTAACCCTCCTGTTGGTGTGATAGGCCCCACCCAATTCGGGCACTGCAAGCAGAGCGCGTAGATCGAGCCGCTAAAGCCGACAGCCCCGCTAAGCATAAGATAAAAGCCATTGTGCAGGTAACGACGAGCCTCCGCCGACTTCGTGAGTGGCATCATCCCCACAAGTGCAGCTAGCGCCGCGGTGTGAGTGAGCTGATATTTGTTCGCGGTCACCCAGGCCCGTCGTTTACGAGCATTTAAGTTTTTCCTCAGCCTCATTCCGATCGCATCCATAAGAATACAACTTGCACCCATCACACCCACGATAGCGAGTGGAACCGCGTAGCTTAACTTGGCAGTCGACATCCCAATTCGATTTTTTTTTTAGTTTTTTCCCTCTGAATATCTGTTTAATAGTTAAGTTAATTGAAAAATAAACGGCACCTCAAAATAGACAAAATTAAGACGACCAGAATACGCCTCGCAATTTGCTATAATACTTTTTATATCTTAGACATTAAAGAGGAAGAAAATCAAACACGATGATAGAAAACTCGAAAAAAAGCACTTGTGTAGATTAGCGGGCTGCAAGTGTTGTAAGAAGTAAGTCTATACAGCCTTCGAAACAGAGAGTACTAAATAAATTTTCATTGTGAAACTTGATATGCAAATGAAACCAAAAATTTCCTGCATTCACCTTAACAAATTAATAGAAGGTTTGGCATTCTTAAAAGACACTACTGATATTTTCCGCCTTTCTATTTACCCATCTTTTACCCTATACCTCAAGCTCCCTGTTCAGGACCGCCTGTTGTTTCATTTATCTCATTCTTCAAGCTTCAGTTTTTCAATTCAAAGATAGTTGACGAATCCGTTTATAATAATAATAATGATAAAAACAAAAAAACAATTGATACCCACCGAAGTTGACAACGTGTGTGCGTGTGTGGGTATATAAAATTATATATATATATGTGTGTGAACCTATTTAGCTCCACCCCTTGAGGTCGGCCTGCTTTCATTCTGGCAACACGCCAATTGCTGCAACGTAGCACCATCCCGACATCAGCACAACCCCGCCCAACACCGTTACTTTCTTAAACCAGTTTGGCCCATGACAGGTGCTGTGGACGTACTGCGGGATCGAGATGAGGGCCGTTCCCGCGGCAAAGAGGGCGTAAACGCGGCGTAGATGCAGCGCCACCTCCGGTTTCGCGCGCGGGATGACGGCGGCAACCAACATCATCGCGATTGAGTGGATGAGGTGATATTGGTTAGCGATATTGTAAGCCTTGAGATCCATAGCATCCATCAAAGGAAGAAAGGCGTGTGCGCCGAGTGCGCCAAAGGAGACGCCGAGCCCCCCAGAAAGGCCCGCTATCACAAGGGGCAGGTTGGTTGACTTGGTGACATCTTTAAAGACGGAGCACATTTTGCAAAGGGGTCCGTTTTGAGTTGGCATGAAGATTTTCGTTAGTAATAGAAACTTGATCTTATAACTGAAAAGAAAAGAATTTAGGGCAGAGTGGAAGTCGATTGATAATCCGTCATGTGAATAATGAACCTGTTCTCCCTTCTCCTCAGCGCGTCTCGAGAGAGGATGACAAATATATCGACCCAATTTAGATCCCCATAGAGATAGCCGCATTAGCTCAAAGTGTTTAGCAACAACAAAAACAACCACAAGAAAGAGACCCACCTCAGCGCTTGAACGCGTCCTCCAGCGCCCGCAAAGCGAGCTCGCTAAGCTCCACCTCACCACTACACGACATGGTGGGGGGATGGCGTATCAATGCCGTCGACAAGGCGCTCGCCTTGCTGCCAGGATCCCCTGGTTCGCTCCGAAAAGAAACCCGATTCTTCTCTGCGTTTTGCAGCACCTTGAGCGCGAACACGTTCATCGCGTTCCGCAACTCCGCACCGCTCCACCCAATGGATCGCCGCACAAACTCCGCGATCAAAACCTCTCCCAGCGCGAACACGGGCCCCCCCTCGGCATCCGAGGTGGCGAGCGTGGGAGGGGTCGTCAACCACGATCCCCATTCCCCCTTCACCACATGCCGGGCTAAACTCTCCCTCGCGTGGGCGTCAGGGAGGGGCACCGGGATATGAGTATCCAGCCTCCCCGGCCGCAACACCAACGGATCCAGGCCCTCCACGACATTCGTGGCGCCCACAAACACCACCACGTGATCCTCATCCGTGTGGATCTCATCCAGGAGGTATAAAAAATGCGCGACGAGCCGCGCGTCGTGCGCGGAGTGCCCTCGACCCCCCCCCCCTTCCGCATAACGCACGCCGAAGGCGGCCTGGAGTTCATCTACGAAGAGCACCGCCGGGCTCTGCTCGCGCGCGAGGGCGACGAACTCGCTCAGCCGCCGCTCCGACTCCCCCACGGCGGATTGCATCAACTCCGGGAGGTCGAGGTAAAGAAAGGCCGCGTTCAACTCCGTCGCCATCGCCTTGGCGAGCATCGTCTTCCCCGTCCCGGGCGGGCCGTAAAGGAGGACCCCGGTGGAGGGCGCCACCCCGGCCTCCCGGTAGCGCGCGCGCTCCCGCGAGGACCGCGTGATGAGGGCCTGCAGCGTCGCCTTCACCGCCTCCATCCCGGCGATATCCCGCCAACGCGTGGTTTGAACGTCCACGTAGCCGACACCCCGCCGAAAGGCCCGCGCGGCGGCGGAATCCCCGGAGGCAAACCCCCGCACCGCCTGCCGCGAGATCGCCCCCACCGCCTCCTTTACGAGTTCCCCCAAAGAAGAAGAAGAAGAAGAAGAAGAAGAAAGGGAAGAAGAATCCGCATCCAAAAGGGGCATTCGCGTGAGAAATGTGGCCTCGGCGAACTCCCGCTCGGCGAGGGTTGCGACCTCCCCTAGCGCGGTGTAGCTCATCCCGCCCGTTCGGAAGGCGAGGGCGGCTGCCAGGGGAAGGCGAAACGCCCTCGCCTCGCCCCCTCCATCGCGATCACCAGGGGGGTTGGAGAGCAGCCGCGAGGTGAAAAAAACCCGCCGCTCCGCTTCTGTCGGGGTGGCAAGATTACGGATGACATCAAAGACGCGATCGCGGGGGAAAGGATGCACCCGCTCGGCGAATCCACCGCCAAAGAGGGCGACCACGACCAAACGCCGCAACCCCAGATCGCTACACTCCTCCCGGGTGAAGAAGCCGAGGGGGGTGCGAAGAAGACGGTAGAGATCCGCGAAAAGCGCGGGATGGCGGGTGGCGGGCTGCCCACAGCTCACCTCGTCATTGTTGCCGATCCCACTCGATTCCTGACCTTCCGTGGACGCCATCAAGAACTCGACGTGATCGAGGACTAATAAAACCGTCTTTTCCGACGCGGCGTCGCCGCCGGTGGATTCCCGGATGGCGTCGAGCATTTTCCGCTTGAGAAGGCGACGCAGCCCGGTGTGGCCGTCGCGGGTGCGGACGGCGAGCGCAGGGGCGAGGGATGAGATAACGGTGATAAACGACCGCCCAATCGTCTTGTCAACCTTCTTCCCCTCTCTAAACCTCCCGTCGTCGATGGAATCGTGAAGGGTGCGAATCAGATAGCTCTTCCCCACCCGAGGTGGCCCGCAGAGGAGGACCGATGGGATCGACACGTCCGGGGTGTCTGGCCAATAACGAAGCAGCGAAACCAACAGTCGCTGCACCAACCCAAACGGGGTGGCCTCGGAGGAGCTCGACACCATCACGGATCGGCTTGCGATTCCGTGGCTCGCCTTTTCCACTTCCATTACGCCTTACACTAGGACTGATTCAAGAAGCAAACACGAACCGGGAGAGGGAGTCACAAGGGATCAGAAAAGTGGCCCACGTTTTATTTTTGATTATTATTTCCGGATACGTGATACAAAATGCATAAATATGAAGTCGATTAGGGAAATGATGCCCAACTTATTTTTTTTATTTCCGTTTATTTTGACAACACTTATCTATAACAAGTGAACCATGGGGGTCGATCGACGGCCCCTGCTTTTCTCTTTCTCTACTCTAGAGCTCACCACCTGACCTTAGGGTTGTAAAACAGGCATCCACAAGGTCTCCCCGCTCGACATTTCAACCAGAAGCGTATCCTGGAAAGCCATCAGGGCGACCACGGTGATCTCCGCCGAGTCGTAGCGGTCTGGCGACCAAGACGCCTGATAAAGCGGGCGGTGCGAGAGAACGGAAGAAAACCGCAGCGCGAGCCCCGTCGTGGACGCCGCGTTGGAATGGCGCGTTTGACCATACGATAACCAGTCCTCTTCCTGATACGTGGAGAGTCGTGGTGGCTGGGAGTGAACGAAGTGATGGCCGCCGGGCAGAAAGCGGCAACGGGTGGGAAAGTTGAGAATTCCACCCATCGAACGTGGCGAACCCCCGTCGCGGTCGGATTCACCGGTCGGGTTCGATTGAAACAGGGATGGGGGATCGTTTCCGCGCGAACCCGTCCTTGACAACGCCTGCGCGCGAGCGATGATCGCCTCCGGGGAGGGCAATTCCCCCAGCCCACTCGAGGACGCCGCTCCGAAGAGGCCGGGTTTCGTGGCGGGCGGGCGAAGGGGCGCGCGTGGCCCGCCCTCGGGGCTCTCGAGCTCCGCGATGGTCCCCCACGCGCCGCGCCCGCGGCCATCCACCATCCCCACCACCCCGAAGCGATCGGGGCT